AGCTGTGATCCCAGGCTGGCAGCTCCCTGCTCCAGAGACTGGATAATCCTGACCAATGTGCAGCTTACCGTTCTGATCCTGGATTTAAGGCAATTACATCCAAAGGCATGAGATGCTAGAATGAGGCTTGGTACTCTGATTCTGCCACTGACGGCCTTGTGCCAACGTTGAAGTTAGTTCCCAGATCTCTCTGTCAATAGACATGAGAACCGATGTCTCCAAAAGTTACTGCTCAGGTATTTTGGGCTTTGGCATAAAATGAGTCATTTGAAAGACCTGACATTGTTGTCATGTTTCAACGCGCGTGGTTTTACGACAGTTTCTGTGAGTGGAGACTATCAGCTTCTCCTGACCTGATCCAGCCATCTGTTAACATGTCTCATAGTTTTTTCAGTGTTTCCAACAGTGTCAAGGCAGCCAGAAACACTTCTGTTTTCTCATAGTCACGTACTCGTGTATTGCCTGATATATTATATGACTAATAAGAACAAGTTGTCCCTATAAAACAGAGTGTACTTTCCATTTAGCAAGACTTGCCTATTATAAGGACAGACTATACACCCATGGAGTTACCATGCAGTACAGCCTTGGAGCAAAGCTACCTTGACTGATATGAACAGGATACTCGCTATGGAATATGAGATATAGCATATACCTAGACAGTCACATATGCACAATGTTGTGAACACTAGACCGTGGCTTTAAACTTCACACTGAAGTGATAGTACACTGTGCAAGATGCTTCGCCAATATTGTACATAGGATGCTGGATTATTGCTGACTAAGCGTTAAACAACATGCACTCAATCATTCTGATAATCTCATTGTACAGTTCTTGAGGGACTGATGTAACCTTTCTGGTATTTCATCCAACAAACACAGGGGTGTCCAGTTAGTATACCTGACTTGCCCAACCCCATGGAAATAGTGTCAGGCAAGTGGGAAAATATAATTGAGTTGCCCTTCGGCAAGCATAAAAATTGGCAGTATTAACTTTGTAACTAGAAGATGTATAGTGTGTTTGTCAACTGCAGATGAAGTATCTGACTAGTCATTTTTCTATTCTGCACATCTCCCATTAGCTGTTGCTTCAGTTAATGAAATTTTGTTGTGAAAAGTAAAGTTTTCTCCTTTTCTCTGATTTAGCAGGACAAGTTGAAAATCAGACTGGCAATGAGAATATTTATGTTTACTTGCCCTTGGGCAAGTAGGAAATTTGGTTATTTGAACACCACTGAAAGTGTGAAGTCATAAGAATCATTATTTATGAGGATTGACAGTTGTAGTGTTTGGTGATAGTCGCTAGGAGTGTAACGATGGACCGAACTATCCATAAATTGTAGTTGTCAGTGTCCTGATAGACAGCACTGATGACACACTCGATCAACAGCTGGAGTAATTGCTGTGCTGAAACAATGAAGCAATACAAGTCTCATGAGTACTGATAAGAACTGTAACAATATAGCTTCATTGGTTAACATAGGGAAAGTGAGCTTTCTTTGAAGCCACAGGTTTGTGTACACTTGGATTATGTTGATAAATTACAGATATCTCCTTAAGCAGTTGCCAAGCAAGCAAGCAAGAAAATGTCCTTAAGCGTTCTTGTGCAGTGTTCATTCCGGACAGTCCTTTCGCGTCATTCATCTACAATATTCAATAAAAGATGCATGTTTTCAAACTCTTTGGGTTCTTTGAGCACACTTTTTTTTTTATAATGTAATTGAAAAAGATGGTTGTGTTAGGTTATTTTATTAAAGTTAAACTGAATGAAATGAATATGACCTGTTTGTTTTGATTTGGTTTATATATAAATATAACAGAATCAATATCTGTTATTAGATTTGTTGAACATTTGCCGTTTAGGTAGACTTAGTTAATCATCAATCTAGTAAACTTTGCTATATTTGTAGAGGGCGCCTTTTTTCATGAAAAGACTTGTGCTTTAAAATGTTAGGGGCCAAAGGTCTAGTTCTGACCTTATGCAGTACTGTCCTAATAGTGAGCTCTGAAACTGTAATTGATGGCCACTGAATGTTTATGACTGGAGATTGACTTCCAATAGGCCTACTGCTATCTGGTGACCGTTGTCACCCCAAACCAACCTACATCAGTCACATGCAAACATGGCAGCTCCCAGGTGTCTTATTTCCTGTTGATTGCCTTGAAGGTCATTCCTCCGACATCTTCATGTTAATCACCTCTGAAAGACACCTACACTTGAGATCTAGCTTAATCTCAGATATCAGGAACTCACACTGTTTGAAGTTATACATCAAGGTGGTTAAGAAATATTACAAATAATATATTACAGTGGCTAAAAATATATTTCAAATGATAAATCACGGTGGCTAATAAATATTACAAATAATGTATCACGGTGGTGAAAATATATTACAAATAATGTATCACAGTGGCCTGTCATAATCAAGGCTGGATCATTCAAGCCAGGGGTTGATAGTCTGAGCAACATCCCACGGGGTGTGATGACAAGCTTATGATCAACCAAATAACTTGTCCTGACTGAGATCCAAGTGAGTTGCCTCTTATCACATGGAATAGATGCTGGGGCCTATTGTAGCCCAGGTCCCCCCTGGGGGATAATAGAGTTGGTCAAGGAAACATGTCTGTGTCTGTGGAAGTGTTATAGGACTTGGATCCTCATTCTGCTCCATCCTTTTGATTCAGCAATGACAGGTACATTCAGGCTATCAGAATGGGTGGGTCCCACTACAAAGACCATTACACTGTCATGACAGGGTGGGTTTATTGGAAAGACATGGCCAATACACTGTCACAAAAGGGTAAGCTTAGAAAGACATAGCCAGTATACAACCGGCTTGTCCTTCCATTCAGGACCTTCTTGAAGATGAGCTGTGTCCCGCCCGACTTGACCGCAATACACGCTTTACTTCTGGTAATGTGATAGAACCTCCACACATCTCTGTCTCTTACAGATACCCTACAACAGTAGGTAGACAGATCCCCTGCCCCCTGCCATGATCCTGGGAACAGTGGTATTCAGACACAGGGACAGGTTTAGTGGCCCTTCATTCATGTACACTCAATACCAATCAATTATGACTACATTTGGACATGCCTGGTTACCTAAAAGATCCTACAAGAATCTGACTGATAGGTGTTGGTAATCAGTGTTCTCATTATATTAAATATCTGTCTATTATTTAGTCATGTCAGTATGTAAGATTAATTTGATAGATGACCTTTCAGTTTGGAAGTTTTAACCATGTGGTCCACATTTCACTTGAGGAACTGGCAATCTTCATTTGTATCCTGATATTTCCAAGGCCAGGTTTTAGTCTGTGTGTTTTTCCATTGTCCCAAGACCTTGATGTCAGCACTCTCAGCCATTGATTGTGATTGCCTACCACCCCAGCCCAGAGGTCTTGACTGTCATTCCATATACGCCTCCTAACCATTGATACCTTTCTCCCAGTCCATATCAAAGAACACCTTCCCACTATATGATTGTGATCCACCTACCCAGTCTGTTTTGATGCCCACTCCCCCACATATTGAGAATCAGATAGCATCTGTCTTACTGCTTATTTTGAAGTCCATCCTCCCACTCCATAATTTTGATACCAACCCTTCCACTGCTTGATTTTGATGCCATCCAATCAAGTTTGTGATGTTGGTACAGACCTTTTGGTACTTTTTGATACCCCACGCCCCACCTTCCAAGCCCATCATTTGATGCCCACCCTCCCGGTCTGTAATTGTGATTATGAACCAGCCATCCATTCCTTGAGGGTATAGCCTAGTGATTAAAGCGTTCGCTTGACAGACTGAGGTCTGGGTTCAATCCCCCATGGGTTTATGTATATGAAGCCCATTGGTCTGTCCCCTGACATCATGTTGCTGGAATATGGCTTGCTCACTCACGTATGTTCTGTTTGTGAAAACCGTTTGCAGGGTGGCCGACATTTATTGACTACATGTGTAACCATCCAGAACATATTGAGGAATTCGAGCAGTGCCACTGGCACTGAGCCAGGCATGTGTGACAGACAACATACTTCCATGTGTCAGGTTATATGGTCCGTTGCAGAATATTGCAAGTAAATACTTTGAATCGATGTGTACACTAGCACTCATTTATGCTTAAGGTAATGAGTGTATAGTCAATACCTGTCATGTACATGGATGAATCTGTGTAGACATAAGCAGTTGTCGATTAGAGCAAACTACAGTTGGCTGCCTGATAACTTATGTGACAGACAGTTTGATTGCAAAAAAAATGTAAATTAATGTTAGAATGTGTTCATGTTTCTTATGACTCTGAGAGAGCTTGTGAGAGTTGTCATTGTTTAATCCTATAGAGTATTGGAGCGGATCTTCTTTTCTAGAACTTCAGGGTAGACACCATGAGTAAGATATGTAATTTTCATTTTGAACTACTAGCTGATGTAACCTTGCTATATTTTAAAGGTAAACTACTTGCAACCCTTTGTCTTGGGCTGGTGGCTGTGTAATACCTAGGCCCATGCATGTGCCTATAAAAGTGATAGTTTCACAGTATGTGCCAAAAGCTTTTCTGTCTACTAGTCTAAATGAGTTTTCAATATTTTCTGGGGCAGTGGAGTAGCCTTGTGGATAAAGCATAAGCTTGTCACACCATAGACCCGGGTTCAATTCCCCATATGGGTGAAATGTGCAAAGCCCATTTCTTGTGTTCCCTGATTTTATATTGCGGGAATATTGCTAAAATTGGCATAAAACCATACTCACTCATTATATTCTTCAGTAGATTTTAATCTAAACATTTTTGATAAGCTAACTAGATATAGACTGAAATGTGGTTGAACTCTCCAAACTGAAATCTCAGAAGGTGCATCTGGTCCCAAGAAGTAGTTGTTATTTTCAGTAGACAGAGGTGACGTGTGCTGTATGTCTGGGATTGAACACTGCCTATACTGGCAACATTTATGTCACAATATTTCATGATAAACATTGACTGATTTTGGCTTTCTTTCTTCCAGGAGGTACTGCAACAACTGCTTATTCTCAAACTTCCCAACATCCACGCCATCTGCCGTGATCCACATAAAGGTAACATGGTCATTTTGTAGACATAAAACTGTACAGCAATTCCCCCTTTATAAGGCCAGTTGTGCCACCATTGAACCATGTCATCTGTATTGATCCTAGGCTGAGTGTAGATATAGATGCTATCAGTACTGTGTGGGTGCACACCGTACACTGTGGGCCAGTCAGGACTTGACTGTGTGGAAGAGGGAAACTGCTCCACCGATCAAACTGTCACTGTCCTTGTCTGAGCAAGACATCTGTATTCTCTTTGTCAGTTATTTGCTGCTGTATTAAATCATTGTAAAATGAATTGGAATGTGTGCTGAAATCTGATTGGTTGATAAGCATTATTAATGGGATTTGAAGCCCTGATATTCTCTAGAATGTGTTATAGTTTCAATAAAGTGCAGTTTAATATTTTTCCATTTGTGGATGTGCTGTAAGTGACATGCATTGAACAGCCAAGTTCTTGGCCCTAGGGGGAACTTTTTTGAGGAGGATAATTGGGGAAGAGGTTAAAAGGTAGAAGGATATATTCACTTGTTTTGGATTAGTTAACAGTGTAAATCTACATGTTAAAAGTTAATTGTTAAATCTGTAGTTCCAAGTTGCCCTCCAAATACTTCAGATTGGAAGAATTTGCTGCCTTGAATATTTATCATGTTAATGAAAGACTTGATATCCAGTCATTGACCAACCTGATCATACCATGAACACAGAGAGGACTAGTGAATTTCTATGTATTCCACCACTGTTTGAACTGTATTATTTCTCAGACTAATAAAATGTGAACTTCTGTTTGTCTGGCAGTGAAACATACCAGGTTTGATGAAATCTTGAAGGACCCACTCCAGATCATTTATCATGTTTATACAGAAAGTCTCCTTCCTTTGTCCAACCTCTGTTGTGAGGATTCCAAGGAAGAATAGTTCTCCATTTACCTTATGCTGGTTGAACTGGAGAAATGTTAATGTCATTGGCTGATGTGTGTGGGTAATATACCCATGTGGGACATGCAGCTCAATGCCCTGTCTGATCACCAGGTTATTGTGTCATGGTCATCTGGATCAGTGCTCACACTGTCATTTGCTCATGTGTTTGCATGGGGTTTCGCCCTTCCAAAGTCTCTGTACTATGGGTGCCCTATTGATTACACGAGGGTGAGATTTTATTTATCATCCAACATCATTCTTCCAACTTTTTCAGTTTGTAGACAGTAATAAGCAGTGTCTTAAGTGTAAAAAGTACTGCTTACAGCTTCAGTAGCAGAACCATTTGTGGTAACCAATGACGTAACAATGGTCTGCAAAGCATTGTGATGCAATTTCATTGCAGCGATATCTACAGTGTAGATATCGCTTGATCTCACCCAAGGATATCTCCTGTGTGAGCCAGTTTTAGATGATAAATTACCTTTTCCACTAATTGTGTTGCAGACTCTAGCTTCGAGGAGATCCGCAAGGTGCTGCTGCTGGTGCTGGGCTGTGCTGTCCAATGTGAACACAAGCAGAGCTTCATCGAGAACATCAAGCAGCTCGAGATAGAGGTACAGCATGCCATCGTCGAACACATCAAGGAGGTAGGTCTTATTCATGGGAGGCCGGCATATAAGGGTAGTTGTTATCCAAAGTTTAGCTTTTTGAGCAGATCAGGAGCTAAAGTAAACTACAGTTGCAACGAACTAAGAGGGACCACTCATTTTAGTTCATTATAACCATGGGTCGTTATAAGCATATATACACCATAAGTATTTACAGCAATGGCTGGGACCAAAAAGGCAGTATGTTATGTCGTCTGTTCGTAATATGCGTGTTCAATATAAATGTAGTTTACTCTATTTGGTTTCTATGAAGGTTTCAAGGCATAAGGCAAATCTCTGGCTTTGGTTTTGTCCTGACAGTCATTTACGGCTTGTCAGTTTATTAGTTGACTTTTCCATTGTGTCGGCATAGGAGTAACTTAAATGGTCAGTGTTCGCTCATTATGCAAAAGGTATTGCATAGATCAATGCTCATGATGTCAGTCACTGGATTGTCTGATCCAGACTCTATTATGTTCAGACCTTGAGTGCGGCATTAAACAACAAAGCAAAAAAGAAACTATCTGTGTAGTACCACACCAACAGGTGGTAGGGGGCTCATAGCGGTACAGCGGGCAGTGTTAGTTATAGCTAGTTTATAGTTCCCTTGTCCAGACATAATGGGATATGAGATCATGTAATGGTCCCTCTGCAATCCAGGTGTTCGGTGATGTGTGTCCATTGTCAGCAACCTGTGATCAGGTCCCCCAGAATAATGAGGAATGTTTGATTATGTTCGTGTTAGATAATACAGGTGTGCGGCATAATTGTTTGACCTGGTGCGACCTTGTCTGACAGTGGGTCATGATAACACATACATGTCTCGGCAGAAGAAGTTTAGTAAGGCCAGGCAGTCACTTGATACTTGAACTGGCATATTGAAACATGGTGATTGCTCAATTATAGGAAACAAACACTACATGACAAAACACAACACAGATCTGGCATGATCTTTAACTCTAGCAGAGCCACCTGCTGGCTTCTCACCTTCCTACAAGACACCACAGGAATATATAGTCCTATGTCAACCCCTCAGCTAGGACATCTGAATAATGCCTATGGCTACAACTTAACTAGGACATATCCTAAATATACCCTATGGCTATCACTTAACTAGGACATCGGGATATACCCTATATCTACCACTCAGCTAGGACATCTGAATAATACCTATGGCTTCCACTTAACTAGGACATATCCTGAACATACCCTATGGCTACCACTTAACCAGGATGTCTCCTGACTATCATGTGTTATATCTACTACTCAGCTGGGACATCTCCTGAATATCATGTGCTATATCTACTACTCAGCTAGGACTATATCTACTACTTAGCCGGGACATCTCCTGAATATCATGTGCTATATCTACTACTCAGCTAGGACTATATCTACTACTCAGCTGGGACATCTCCTGAATATCATGTGCTATATCTACTACTCAGCCAGGATGTCTCCTGACTGTCATGTGCTATATCTACTACTCAGCTGGGACATCTCCTGACTGTCATGTGCTATATCTACTACTCAGCCAGGACGTCTCCTGACTATCATGTGCTACATCCACCACTCAGCTAGGACGTCTTCTGACTGTCATGTGCTACATCTACCACTCAGCTAGAACGTCTCCTGACTATCATGTGCTACATCTACCACTCAGCTAGGACGTCTCCTGACTATCATGTACTATATCTACCACTCAGCTAGGACGTCTCCTGACTATCATGTACTATATCTACCACTCAGCTAGGACGTCTCCTGACTATCATGTGCTATATCTACCACTCAGCTAGGACGTCTCCTGACTGTCATGTGCTACATCTACCACTCAGCTAGGACGTCTCCTGACTATCATGTACTATATCTACCACTCAGCTAGGACGTCTCCTGACTATCATGTGCTATATCTACCACTCAGCTAGGACGTCTCCTGACTGTCATGTGCTACATCTACCACTCAGCTAGGACGTCTCCTGACTATCATGTACTATATCTACCACTCATGTATATCCAGAACATAATACGAGTTATGAATATAATGTAATACACAAGCAATCTAGTGTGAAGTATACATAGAACTACAGTTTTCGCCCTGTTTTAAAGCCCAAGAGTTAAATACATTCACATCACTGAGGCTGGTTGGTGATGAAGTGGTCAGACCCTGGTGTTCAGCGCAGGGAAGTAATCAGAATAGCATTAACCCCCTGAATGCAGGGGATGTGTGATCATGTGTCCAGCTGGGCTGTGTGTGTGCTAAATACCTATCAAAGACAATTGCTAGGTTTGTATATAGACAGATCTATGGAGTGTACTTTGATGTCCGGAATAGTCTCATTACAGAGGCACATTAGCAGCACTGAACACATCTTTGTATACTCTGCTGGATTGTGAGTCTGCTGTAGGGTAACACGTTGCTGATTCTTTTATGTTGAGCCTGTGCTGAAAACACATTTCCTTCTTTTCATAAAACGGGATGCTGACTTATTGGCAGCACCATGGGATTGGAATAGAAGCGTAGAGTTGGCGTCTTAGTGATCACTCAATTATGCCTCTCCTCATGAGTATTTTGGGGGACACGGGTGGCCCAGTCGTCTGAGTCATTACAATTTGCTACGTCCTTTGGGCACGCCAGAGCATGGTTTCAAATCCTGTTTCGCCCAGATTATGTTTCTAGGCTTATCAGCACCATACCTGTGCTTGTGAGTTTCACGAAAGTTGTACACATATGAGACATGCATCACTTTGGGTTTTCCTCCCGCGGTAAGCTGACATGTCATGTTATGATTTGAATACTGTTCACTCAGTCACTCAAAGTATTTTAAGTTACTCAGGACTAATGAGTGAAGGCTGTGAGCCTCAAAACATTTTAACAAAGTTCCTTTACATGATCCACTGTTTTGTACAGTTGTTTACATTGTTATTTTGCTGTTGAATAGGTCCCCAATACTAAATGTTTTATCGCAAGATATAGTACAGGTGGCACCTTTGATCTTTTAGCGAAGCGTGTTAGAAATCTGGTATTTTGTTCAAAGTGGCGTTCAATCTCGCTTACTCTCTCACTCTCTCACTCACTCTCTCACTCACTCTCTCACTCACTTTCTCACTCACTCTCTCTCACTCACTCACTCTCACTCACTCTCTCTCTTTTTCTCGCTCACTCACTCACTCTCTCTCTCTCACTCACTCTCTCACACTCACTCTCACTCACTCTCTCACTCACTCTCTCACACTCACTCTCACTCACTCTCTCACTTTTTCTCGCTCACTCACTCACTCACTCACTCTCTCTCACTCACTCTCTCACTCACTCTCTCACTCACTCCCTCTCACTCACTCTCTCTCTCTCTCTCACTCACTCTCTCACTCACTCTCACTCACTCTCTCACTTTCTCACTCACTCACTCACTCACTCACTCACTCACTCTATTTGTCTCAGATCATCAGCTTGTTGGAACCTCCAACTAAACAATTTATCAGATTCCTGAAACCGCAAGACAGACTCAAACAGCTTCAGTTAATACATTCTCAACATACTGCTCTGCATGTTCTTCTCGAAGTAGAATACCTGCATTGTCACCCATCGCATGTCTATCGTGTACTGAACAAGGGGGAAATAACACTTCCTCAACAAGTCTCTTGTTATGTTTACATGAAAAACATACTCTGGGGATGTTGTAAATACCGGGAGTGATACATTTAACAGAAACAATATAATTGATTCTTCATGCAAAGGCTTCAGAGGGAAGCAGCAAGGGTAAAGTGACTTGTAAATACAACGGCAGCATGTCAGACGGTTGATTCTCCATCAGTTTCCCGCCTAGGTCACACATGTGTGAGCACCTCAGTCACACGTGTGTCCACCTTCAGCCCCCTTACCATGCCTGGGTAATGAAGCGTTCTCTTTATCATAAACTGAAGGTTGATTTGGCTTCCCAGATTATCAATACCTCATTCGACATAATAAGCGCCCAGTGTGCTCTCAAAATTAGAAATAGGGGGCTCTTATTTTGGTGGAAAAAAAACAGAGTTGAAAGATAAATTTTGTGGTTTATGCTGACAGCCTGAAATGTTTATGTACGAGAGATATTTTTGCCCGAATTTAATTGCCCATAATTAAGGGGGCATACAACACACTAGTGAGTATTATACACAAATAGATACGTCTTGTGTGCATTGATCAATCGGAATTGTTCACTTGCCAATATATTAGCAAATATCGCCATGGGTGCTTATTAGTGCAGGGCGCTTATTATGTCGAATACGGTATGTCTTCATTTAGGAGGTCTGAAGGCCTCATCACGCCTTCCTTGAGGCTGCGATACTGTCTGGCAGATACAGCTATCATTAAGGACCCTCATGTTGAAGGAGCATGTGCTGCCTCTCAATTATAACACAGGTACTACTGGGGTCCGTTCCACAAAGCAATTGTAGCTTTGAGGTGATTGTAAGTCTCATACTTTGACATAGACTTACGACTATCGTAGCTCTACAATAGCTTTGTGGAACGGGTCCCTGGTAGATTGTGGGTGTCGTTTCAATTGAAAAGTCATTCTGATCTTCTATTTGTGCTCCTGAAAGATTTGTTTTTCACAGAAAAGGGTTTATTCACACCCACCATTCTTATTTGACAAACTGATTGTCGATCAGGTTAGTGTGATGACAGTTTCAGACCAAATGTTTTTGTTGTACAACAAAAATCTTTTGATATGTTATTTTTTGCTTGGAAGTACAATAAAATTGTATTTTTTTTCATTTTTGTCCCCATTCATCCAATGATCAGTCCATGAATTAATATACCAGTGGTTAGGGCAGTATGAAGAAGCATAGTGGTCTGTGTGTGCCTGCGTGCATGGAATTTGCCTCTGCACAATTCCAAAGAAGCTGTAATGTAGAATTTATTCAAAATTCATTGATGTTGGACATTTTTTATTTGCGTGCGTGCGTACAATGAATAAAAAAGTTAGGGGTAATGAAGTTTTGGGGATTGTTTGTGTGAAATTGTGTGCTCAGCCTTCGCTACCACATTAAAATCCCCAAATATATTCATCATCCTTAACTTTTTTTGTTCAGTATATATTACATTGTACTATGGGTCTGGTAGCACAGGGGGTAAGACAAAACCATCTGTCATATATATATATTATATACATATACACTGAGTGTCTTGTGTATCCCTGGGGGCGGTCGGGTAGCCTTGTGGTTAAAGCGTTCGCTCGTCATGCCGAAGGCCCGGGTTCGATTACCGACATGGGTACAATGTGTGAAGCCCATTTCTGGTGTCCCCCGCCGTGATATTGCTGGAATATTGCTAAAAGCGGCGTAAAACCATACTCACTCACTCACTGTGTATCCCTGACATGTGGAAACTGCTGCTGTTGGACCAGCTAAATCGTCCTCCTACTCCCTTCCTGCCAATGTACAACTAACAGACCTGGGATCCCTTCCACAAAGCTATCGTTGTGCTATGGTTATCGTAACTCCCAGACTTGCGCTTGCGTTGCACTACGATTGCCCTGTTGAACTGGCCCTGGTGTTGTATGTGCACTGTATCACTGACAGATAATCAGGTATTTGCCAGACTGTATCTGTAAACTTGGTTCAACATGCTCAGTAAATCTTGGAAATATTCAAGGACACATAAATCTGTATGACTTTGGACATCAATGTTTGGAAATCTGGGTAATTCTTGTGAATACCTCACCTCTATCACATCAGTGCCAGGAATCTGGGTATTTGTATCCTGTTAAAATATGACATACTTGACGAGATGATATATGCATTGTATTTACATGAAATAGATTATATATCTCCAACTGGCAAAAAATACATGTTATAGTCTACTGTCCAAGACCTTCCGAAATCACAATTTGTAAACATGATTGTGGATATGGTATCTGAAAATGATGATAATCAGATTTGTCCATATGCCAGTGACAGCCTGAGTTTAATTATGTTAACACTGATTAAAAAAAAAAAATTGATTTTTATACATGAAAATTATGTGCGAGGCGGTTTATTTCATTTTGGGCAAAATCCCTGATTTAGTAACACAACTTTGAAAATTGCATTGGTTACAAGATTTGATGTTAACATTGCAGAAAGGTATTTTCCTTCACAGATTTGGTAACTAAGTCAGAAAGTTGTGTTTGATACACAAGCCCTTGAGGTGTTTGTTGTGAGGTGTATCTGGTCAGTGGTGGAGGCATGGCCGCCACGGATGTTTGCTTTGAGACAGATGGACAACAAACAGAGACTGTGGTGGTTACAGTGTCTCTTTCTGTCCAAACAAACTCAACCAGAATTCATTCCCCTTAGTGATATCCTGGCAAGAATAAATTCACTCACTCAATTAATTTGCGTATGTCGATATAACATTTTCATCTTTGTACGGGTGACAATCAAGGTAGCTGTTCTGAACAACAGATAGATTGGATATTTGTAAATCGAACATGTGGTCACATGTGTTATATATATGGGGCTAAGGGACCTTCCTCAGAAATGGATGGTCATTTGTTTTTCAACTTCGTAACCTAAAGCATGAACAATATTGGGAATTGCTGTTTTTCCTGATGATGCATGGAGTTTTGACAATCACAATAAATCATGGATCATTTAGTTTTGGGTTGAGCCAGTTGGTTGAGGTCACTACCCTCTCATGGTTTGTTACATGACATCTTGAAGACTTCCATCAGTTCCTACTTAGGTGGGACCTGACATATTATTTTTCCAAGACTTTTTGTAAAGTCATATTCTCAGTGTCACTTGTGTGTTCTATGACCTTCAGTGTCAGTGTCTTGCACTGTTTTTCACCTAATTGAAAATTAGTGACCTCGTGGTATGTTTAATTTCACAGATGAATGGGGGGCACGGGTGGCATAGTTGCCTAAGGCGCCACGATTCGCTGTGCAGAGTTGCGTCCCTTGGGTACCCCAGAAACCTATGATTGTGGGTTCGAATCCCGGTTCACCCCGATTATGTTTTTAGGTTTGTGAGCAACATACCCGTGCTTGTGGGTTTCACCGAAGTGGTAAACGTCTGAGACATGCATCACTTCCGGCTTTCCTCCCTCATCAAGCTGACACGCCGCGATATAACTGGAATACTGTTAACAGCGGCGTTAAACCCAACTCACTCACTCACAGATGAATGTGAGATGAAATAATTGGCCTACCCTGATGTTTCAGTTTTTTACTGACATGTAAAGACTGATGATTTATCCATTTTGTCTTGTCACACTTGATCATAAATCTTGTGATAGGCTGAGGTTGAGTTACCAGGAGATATAACAAAAGTATGTACATTATTGTAATTTGACATAACATTCATTTTTTGTGTTATTTTGTCCAGATCACAGATGACAGCGAGGCTGTCCTCCCCATCGAGCCACCAGCAGAGCTGGAAGCGTACACGGAGAAGATGTTCGCACACCTCACCAGGCTGATCAAGGAGAGAGATGATGTTTCAGAGGTGGGTCTGTTGCCTTTTGCTGTGGAACAATTCAAAATGTTTGAGCATAAGGTGAACATGATCGAGGCATGCAAGAGTTGTCTCCCTCTAGTGTATGATTGGTGTTAAAGTACTCATGGAAATGAAAAAAACCTGTTTTGCTGGATTTAATAATCGACACAAAGCATTATGTAGATGTAAATACGAAATAACAAAACAACTGGAATAGTACTAGTCTGGATTTGCTAGTTTTATCTCAGTGTTCAATACAAAATGTACTTTACAGGAGGTAATTTGTAGGCACTTTCAACATTCAAAAATAAAACTAAGTCCAAATTGACATGGCAGAAACAGGCTATAGGCATTATGCAAATTATCCTGGAAAAAAGTTATCAAAACAACAATAAAAATAACAGCTATGTTTATGTACATAATAATAATGACATGTAAGTTGTTGTTTGAGAAGGGAATATGTTACTTTTACGTTCTGATATTTTGACGATGATTCACTATCCCACAATGCCACTCACAAATCACTAACCACTGACAAATCACATGCACGTGGGTTTCAAGCACCTGTTTTCACCTGTCGTCAAGGTATCATAGGTCATGGACATTCACCTTGATCATCTCACACCTGGTTATGCTCAGTTTAACAATAGTCTGTTTTGTTCATATTTTTACACACTTTTACGTGTAAAAAGACATAAAAACCTTTGATACGCTGTATTTGTGCCAAGGCCCAAGTAGTACTAATTGAGTTGTTTTAATATTTATATATTTTGTATATTAACTGCATTTATTTAAAATTCTGAGATCGAAAAAACAGTTTTTTATCATTTCCATGAGTACTTTAGTTAAACTCACGTGTATTATCAAATGTTGGGGGAGCAATTTAGGTGTGTCCTCCTCATGACAAAAAGACAATTGTTGCGTTGAATGGGTTTTCAGGTTTGGTGACTTGATTATAGTAGGTCTAATTTCTGTCGCCTTGTTTTTGTCCAATTACTGCAATCAGTTTGAGAAGCCTGTTTGTTTCTGGTGCTGTCAAGAAGAGGCCAACCAAATAATTATGTGCAAGAAATTCAATATGAAGCCATCAGAACTAATTGGTATTGATCCGAATGTCTCCATAATCTTCCACAAAAGATCTGAAGATAATCAATGGTGCATCTTTGTTGATGAAGCTCGGAAAATGATATGCAAACAAAGCAAGATTGAAGCAGAACGCTGACATTAAACAATCAATATTTGTGTCCGGAGTGTGGTGACCCACAGCCACAGCCACACCCTCATACAAGGACTTTGTTGGTGTAGATCGATGGTTCAGCTTATCTGTTGTGCTCTTACTAAATGAAAATGTAATTTATCAAGTATTTTTAATCAAATTGCAAATTAAATAAACAACTCAGTCTGGTGACAATTTATGTGACTATATCAATTTCACTTCTGATTCTGAATAGTATGCAGCAATATGAATTTTGACAAAAACAGATTAAGGAAAGATAATTTAATAATTGAAATTTTCCTGTTCGAATCACATATGCTATTGGATGCAGTCAGTGATGGTGCTGTAAAATCTCTGTCTTACACGCCATCAGTAACCGTTGTCAGTCTGCCAGGTACTTTGTTATAAGGTGAAGCAGTTGTAAAATATCATCAGTTGTGTCTGTCTGTTAGACTAACATCTAGTCTCTGAAATGAACATATCGTACAGAAAAAACAGTTACTCAGTTATCTTAATAAAAATATAATTCATGAAAGGTGTAATTTGAATATTTTTCCTCCAATTTTCAAATTATCATTATTGGTCATGCTATTTTCCATTGGCCTCCTGGCCGAGACTCAATTAGTTACAGGTGGTTGTGTTATAGCTGGAATACTGTGACATAAAACAGCATTGACTCACTCGTTCACTATTGGGGGTTAGTGACTGGTTGTTAGGCCGGTTCAGGACCGTGCAGACACGAGGTTCGACTTGCATGACATATGAAGAAGGAAGCACTGTTTAATGGCAGTGGGTGATTCAGTGCGACGTAATGTCTGCAACTGCACACTTGTCAACTGCTGTCTAGTGTTGCCATCACTCTTGATGGACAGTCCACTTTCAGCACTCAGGATTGAGTCAGTCAGTACGTCAGAACTTGCGTTGGTCATACATTTATGTATAGGATTGAGACTTAAGTGATGTGGCTAGCATTAAATTATGAAAATAACTTTGTTTCTGGTAGGCTTTGTATTTGTTATACCCCTGTCCTCAAAGGGCGGGGTATATAGTTAGGCCAAGGAATTCCGTCGTTCAGAGGACATTTTTCTTTTTTATCTATAACTTGAAAACAACTGCATAGATTCTTTTCAAACTTTGTGAATTTTTTTATACCTATAGGAGAGGTGCAGTGCAAAGTTTGGTTTCAATATTTGGATTTTCTTAAAAAATACAGCTTTTTTTATATATTTTAACTGAAACATTTGTGCGACCTTTAACGAGAAAACTGCTACATGGATTCTGTTCAAATTTAGGGAATAGTTTCCATTCTAATAGAAGAGGTGCACTGCTAAGTTCAATTTTGTTATGTGTATTTTCTAAAAAATATATGATTTTTGTAATGTTTTGAACTTAAAACATTTGTGCAACCTATTACTTAAAAACTACTTGATGGATCATTTTCCAAATGGCGGTACAGTTTCTATACCAATAGGAGAGGTGCAGTGGAAAATATGATTTCAATAAGCGGATTTTCTGAGAAATATTGCTTTTTTATTGTTCTAAACTTAAAAATATGTTGGAGTTGATGTCGGGGTATTAGTGAACCCTCCTCACTTTTTGTCTTGTTTCAGTTAGTTTATGAATGTATATTTTCAAACTGAATGATCAGTTTATATCTACAAGCATTTTTTTATCATGGCTTTTTAAATGTGATTGCTTATGAGTCAAAGAAAAAGTCAAAGTCTGTTGTCCTAGTTTGAGTGAGTGAGGTGGCGTTGACACTGGTTTCTGTTCATTACTGAGAGTAGGTAATGTACTCAATGAGAGGAAATACATTTTGAGTTTATTCTAAATTATTGAACCAAGTCATGAGAAAAACATTTCAACAGTTTTTACAAATGTTTAATATAGTACTGGTAATCTGAAGGTGAATCTGGTACTTCACCTCACCATAAGTACCTGTCTCCAAGTACTCCCTGTCTCCAAGTACTCCCTGTCTCCAAGTACTCCATGTCTCCAAGTACTCCCTGTCTCCAAGTACTCCCTGTCTCCAAGTACTCCATGTCTCCAAGTACTCCCTGTCTCCAAGTACTCCATGTCTCTAAGTACTCCCTGTCTCCAAGTACTCCCTGTCTCCAAGTACTCCCTGTCTTCAAGTACTCCCTGTCTCCAAGTACTCCCTGTCTCCAAGTACTCCATGTCTCCAAGTACTCCCTGTCTCCAAGTACTCCCTGTCTCCAAGTACTCCCTGTCTTCAAGTACTCCCTGTCTCCAAGTACTCCCTGTCTCCAAGTACTCCCTGTCTCCAAGTACTCCCTGTCTCCAAGTACTCCATGTCTCCAAGTACTCCCTGTCTCCAAGTACTCCCTGTCTCCAAGTACTCCATGTCTCCAAGTACTCCATGTCTCCAAGTACTCCCTGTCTCCAAGTACTCCCTGTCTCCAAGTACTCCCTGTCTCCAAGTACTCCCTGTCTCCAAGTACTCCCTGTCTTCAAGTACTCCATGTATTGCAGCTGATGACAGACCTGTCCCAGGAGCGAGACTTCTACCAGTCCCAGGCTGAGGGTGCCGCGGCTCCCATCATTCCAACTGTCACCCCAGAGAAACACCATCTAGCAGTGGAACTCGCAGAGAGCAAAGCCAAACTACGTCGCACCAGACAGGAACTGTGAGTCTTTTTATCTTTTTTGTTTGCTACAAATGGGGATTCTAGGGATGGAGTTTCATCTGTCCGAGATAGAAATTAACCTTTTCTCAAAAATGCTATTTTAAAATTTTTGCTGCAAATAATGCCTGGTAGCATTTCATTTACTTGGTAGAAAGTCGAGACATGCCCATACAAGATGAAAGAGATACATAGTTCAAATACAGCTTATAAACTTACCCTAGATAATGCAAATTTGATTCCAGTCATTACAAATCAACAGTTGGCTAACTAAGATTTGTGTGGTGTTTATCTGTTAGTTCATGATTTCCCTAATCACACAAACACAATGCTCCAGTTGTACAGACGATGCAACATAGAAAAAGACTGGTCACCAGACCGTGGAGCTTAGTTCTTTAAATAGAGGAATATCCGTGAAGATCCCAGTTAGATTATTGGCCTTCAGCAACCCATGCTTGTCATAAAAGGAGACTATGTTTGTCTTAAGAGGCAACTAACAGGATCAGGTGGTCAGACTCGCTGACTTGGTTGATGCTTGTAATCGTATCCCAATTGTGAGGATCGATGCTCAGTCACTGGATTGTCTGGTCCAGACTTGATTATTTACAGACCGCAGTCATATAGCTGGAATATTGCTGAGGCATTAAACAACAAACAAACACACTAAAAAGAGAAAGATCTCAGTATACCCATGACACGTGGAGATCCTGGGTAAAAATGTAGGTCCCCAGCAACCTATGCTTGTTGTAAGAGGCCCCTCTCAGCTACCCAGAGTTCCTTGGTGTTAGCCTCGTACCTCTGCCACAGTGGAGCGAGATGTGACATTTTGTCACACATTATACAGTCCAGTCAACTGAGATCTTGGTACAGTCACCTTGATGTGTGAAGACATATTGTAATACTTCTCGGCGTCACAGTTGTAGAAGCACATCTTTATCATTATGCAAATGTGTAAATCACACTGGACGTCTTTTATTAGCCCTGACCTCCCTGATTTCGGAATAAGCGTGTTTGTTTATAAGACCAGTCCAGTCCAGTCATTTGACAGGGAGAGAATTAACCTAGATAGTCCACGACCCCAAATAGTGATAACATACACAAACATCCCCAAAATGTTTGAAATTCCATCAGCCTTAGGATACCTTTTACATCAGTGAAAATGGCTTGGGCTAGCAGGCTGATGCTAATTTCCATCCCTGCATGATATGCAAATTTGTGGCAGTAGTGTAATACAAGGTCATCACACGCCCGGAGTGTTGGAAGAGGCAACTAAATGGATTGGGTGGTCAGTTGACTTGGGTGATTCTTTGTCATCTTATCCCAATTGCATGGATCAATACTCATCAACCACTGGATTGTCTGTCCAGACTCTATTATTTACAAACCACGTCATAAAGCTGGAATATTGTGGAGAGTGGCGTTAAACAACAAACAGTATGCCCATGTACCGACTGAGTTGAGCTGTTGAACTTGTCATGTTAACTGACTTTACCAGCTGCTTGTCTGTGGGCTGTTGTTACTGTGTCCATCAACTGTCCTCTGCTCAAATGACCACGGATGTTCCCCCCTGTCAGACGTCACCTTGCTATGATTACCTGTCATGTTTATCCCATTTGTCTGGGATGACAGTCTAGTGACTAGGTCTTTGTACTTAACCTTGAGGGAAGTAGTGTTATGCTAGTCCTATTTTGGCTCACATTTCCAGTTGTCATTGTTTGAAGTCAAGGCTTAGGGGGTCTACTGATTGGTTTAGAATTAACTGTGTCAGTGATTTAGCTTGAGACAAATGAAATTAGGGCATTTTCCTAAGCATCAACTACTGATTGGACATTCTTCTAATTATTTGTAAATTTGAAAAATGTCTGCTGGATGCTTTGGACTTAGTCAATGTCTTGGAAGATGGACTGTTGTGAAACACTGCATAATCGTCCACCCTGAGTGTTGATACCTCGTAGCAGCTAGGTGCCATGAATACATGCTTGTTGTGGTGGCTGATAGGAGATGGTATTGTGGTTTATAAGGCTGCTCAATAGTAGAATGGATTTCAGTCACTGAGATAATGCACTTGGCAATGTTCCAGCTATTTGTCGGCAGCTTGCAGATAATCAAGTCAGAGACAGAGAATCCAGTGATTGATATTGTGAGCAAAGATCTACACCAGCTTGGCGTGATGACATGCTATCATCCAAGTCACTGAGTTTCAACATGCGATCCACTTGGTCATCCCTTACAACCAGCATAGGTTGCTGGGGACCAATTCTAACCCAGAATCCCAACAAGATCATGCAGTGGCCTAGTTCTAATGTGTGGTTGCAGGGTAATCATGCCCTTGTTCCTTAGACCAGGTCATGTTATTGCTGCAGTACTGCCGACAGCGATGTAGAGCATGCTTGAATGATTTAACCAAGTCAAAATTACTGCACACTGATGAAGGGAATGTGGCACATGTCCACAAAGGCTGTGGCTTCCCTATTCATTTTCCATCCTCAAATGTGTATTTGGCACAGTGACAAATGATGTTTTCTGTCCGGGCGCGTTGCAAGCATGGATGATTTATAGTTGAAAACAGAATCTTGAGTTGATGATTGGATTCATAAGATTGTAATAATAATAAAAATAAAAATAATAATAAATGAAAAAATAATATTAATAATTATATTAGATATTAGTGTTAAATATCATACTTTTACTATTTTTGGTGTCTCACCTGTCAGGCTCACTTGCTCATGCATTGCCCTGCTGTGAGTGTCATCATTCATCACAACTGAAGCATAGCAGTAACAACGCCTATAAAATCACAAAGCGTGGCCCAAAATGAAAGCTTACCATACACTTGATTACAGTTATAAAGTCACATTAAGAATGACAGGAATGCAGGGATCAGGAACTGCTGTTCCCGGGTCCCTTCCAAGAGACGTGACCTGTACTGAAATATCCCAGCATGTCTGACATAAACTATAGCTACACAATGATGCGCAATACTAGTGCTATGATGTTTACTGTGCATTGAATAGGGGTCTATGTTTCTTTTGCTTCTTGGCGGTGGGGTAGCAGAGTGGTTAAAGCATTTGCTCATCACACAGAAGACCTGGGTTCCATTTTCCACATGGGTATAATGTGTGAAGCCCATTTCTGGTGTCCCCAGCTGTGATATTGCTGGAATATTGATAAAAGCTGCGTAAAATCATACTCACTCACTCACTCACTTAATCTTCTTTTGTAAATATGCTGCAAGTGTTGTTACATGTATGTTTATGTAAACAGATTGTGTGTATGTCTACTATCCTGCCTCTGCTATGTAATGGAAAAAGGGAGCAACCATTTTATACATCTTAATGCTACGATTGTTGTAAGTCATTGTTAAAGTAGGCAGTTACGATTGTCTTAGCACCACATCCCTTTGTGTAATAGCATTCTGGTCAATTATTATTGCTCTGCTAACCCCAGCATGTCAGCGACACACTGTTGTTAGTGATGAGCAAAGATGAAATAAAACCAGTTGACCATGTCATGGCTGTATCAGGCCCAGACTGGAGGAGTTTATAGCTGAGATAGGGGAAGTATGCTTGGCATCCAAAAGGAATGCTTGACCATGTGTCCAGTCAGGAGCCAGGACATTCTCCTCTTCAGCCAGGACAAACATAGGCACAAGCCCCTCTTCTGACATACTAACACAGCTCACATGCAAGGGATCCACTGCCTGAAGCCCCTTATACAGAGCAAACACAGGCATGAGCCCCTATAATTGATTCCACATCCCTGACCAGGGGCCAAGAGTTATCAGGTGGCGACGGGCTGCAGTCCTGACCTTCAGACATCGCTGGCAACATGCCTTCAGTTAAAGTCTTTTTTTAATTGAACAAATTATTTCTAATCGGCTGTCTGTGATGTTAGCCACTACTCCAAAGCCTGAATGTCTAATAAAATATTTTTAATTCTAGTAAGCTCAGCTAATACTTGTCCACATAATAACACCAAAATCAACTAAAAATGAGTCTTCAGGTCAGTAGACTCAAATGTTTTTGTCACAGACTGTATCAGGATGCATTGAGAACACTGAGTGGATGTATAAGAAACATGCAGAGCATTTCCTTGTGTAATAAAAACAATGTGTTACATGAGTTCATGATGGGAAGGTAGGACTGTGGGATTACGAATGCAAGAGGGAAGAGACATTTCATAATCAGTTTGTTTTCATGTATAATTTGTATTTTTTTATTGTACAAACACAAGCAATAATATATGACTCTTGATTAGACCAGAGATAAGCAAACAGCATATGTAGTAAGCTAAATATTTTTATGAATTCAACAGAGAGGAGAGGCCTGTCTTCCAAGAAACATCTGAGACACGGTTTAGGAAATTACAGATGCAGACATTGCGTTAGTGTTTAATAGTTGTGATGTGTTGTTTGAAGTTAAGAATAAATGTTGAAATTTATAAATATGACTTCAGTGCCCAAGATGACAAAAAGAAAAGCTCAAGCTCCTCAGATTCATCTTGATTTCTTGAACTGTTGTGTATGAATGTTTCTACAGCTATTGAAAAGTATAATTCTGCATCGTTAAGTGGGGCCCTGAGCACCTGTATCGGAGTTATGTTGATGCTCTTGTTATGGGCACAAACAAATGACAGTCTGGAGTGAGACTCTGGACTCTGCAGGATCTTTGTTTCAGGGGAGGCGACACACCTCTCTGCTGACCACCCTGAATAGCCTCAATTAGCTGCCTACCAGGTGGTCAAGTAGCACTGGTCCTGTGCTTTGTCCATGTGGTGAGCTGGTTGATTCAAACTGGGCTGCTAGATCAGACTGCAGCAGGGATAGGGTTAAGTTGGACATCTGTGCTCTAACTGACGAGGCAGATTCAAACACAGTCTGTAGTTATGGCAGCAACGTTAGGGGCAGGAATACTGAGTTGCTCCTGTGAATAATTGATTTGAACACAGTAACTTTCAACCAGGAAAGGAATCAAGTTGTCACTAATCAAGTTGTCACTGTGGATAGATATGTGATAGGATGAAGGCACATTCATGGTTAGGTGCTGTGTATGTTGGTCTGATGCAGCTGTATGATGTAGCTCACTGGATGCTGAGAGTGTTTCTCAGGTAAATGACCTTTGTTTCATTACTGCTGTTGCTAGTATCTCTGATCTGTAGATATCAGTAGCTATCACCTTGCTTGTTGATATATGAAGCTGCAGTCTGTAAGTATTGATATTATAGATATAGTACTTCGTTATCCCTAGGAAATATGTTCATCATTAAATTCTCTGCTGCATAAAAAATATGATTCCCATAAAGAAACACTATTAAGCAGTGATATTGTTGCTGGTGCTGAACACATGGAACATGTGGGTTTTTTCAAAGTTGAAATATGGGTTGGGAAGAGAAGGAGATTCTCGGAGTGTTGATGTGATGGTGTTTCTCAGTTATTAATGTCAGTGATTCATGACTGCCAAAATAGTGGTTAGAAACCATAAGGGGAGAGTGGTCTGGTTGTCTGAGATACAATAATTCACTGTGCAGAGTTGTGTCCCTTAGGACCAGGGCCAGGATCCACTGATCCTTGTTTTGTTCGTGCGTTGCACCAGTGTGGGAAGCATCTATGATCTTCATCACTTGGGGCTTATCCCCATAATGACCTGAAACAGTTTGATAGAACTGTTCAAAGCAGAGTTCAACCTACTCTCACACTGTCTAATTGTCCCACAATGTCTGTCCATGGGTCCCCACTATCTGTGTCCCTGACTGGCTGATTATGTATTCCCCCATGGGGATGCTGGGTTAGAATGGGTTCCCAGCAACTTATGCTGGTCGTAAGAGATGACCAAGTAGATCAGGCGGTCACTCGGTGACTTGTTTGATTGTGTCATTGTTCCCAGACAGCATGGATTGTTGCTCACAACATTGATCACTGGATTGTCTGGTCCAGACTCGATTATTTACAGACTGCCCTCATATAGCTGGAATATTGTTGAGTGTGGCTTTAAACAACAAACAAATAAATAAAACCTGAACTTGGTTTGTCTGACTGTCTGTCTCTGTTCCAGGGAAGAGAAACAGGAACAGTTGTCTGACATCAAGGATGAGCTGGAGGACACAAAGGCATCAATGGCCAAACTCAGGAACGAGGTGAGATACTGTTTTAGCATGTTAGCTGGCTATCAGCAGAAAACAGCTTGACTTGACCTGATGAAACCTGAAAATACTAAACTGAGCGAACAGCGATAGAAATTAACATTTTCAGTCCACTTGTCCTTATAATGATAACAAAAAGCAAAATCCTTGAAAATAGCAAATTTCTAATAATCTTTATGATACTTTAACTATTGGGCAGTTTGACAAGGATTCTAGGAATAATGCCATTTCTTATCGCTGATAGCATACAAGTAGTTGTCATGAAACTAATGAAATTGAGACGAGGAAAATTGTGGCCGAACTTGATCTGATGAACCAAGATTGTTCAGACTTTACTTTCACAACAAAAAAGTGAATCATTGACAAACCTTTAAAAAATGTCGGCCACTCTCATCTAGTTACATACACTATAGAATTACTCCTCGGCATTGGATTACATCCTGGCAGGTTTGTAGAGACAGTCACCTGATATTTGGGATTACGTGTGTTCCTATTAAACGAGATAATCAGATTTGAGTTTACAGATCCAACAGGTTAAAAACTATATTGAAGGTGATGAGATTCAAACAAGCCTTAGGATAAATATAGGGCTGATGTGCTTTGATCCCAGATCATTATCTGGGCTTCATATGGACGATGTGATGAACTTATACATACATGTCATACAACACTGACAAAACTCCAGGATGGGTAGCATTCCTTTCCGTGGCTATTTTGGTCTTACTTGACTGACTGCTAGTGTTACAAGTAAAACCCACTTTTTGAGATTCCTTAAGCCGGCCTGTGGTGTGTACATTGTGCGATGATAGGATCCGCCTCATCTCTGACAAATAAGTGTGTTTTGAGTGAGGCTGTGTTCCGCCCGAGTGACCTCATCGTAGTATGTCCATGCACGGACTGCAAGCGTGTCGACTTTAAGCTGGTTAAGGAGAACCGTAAGTTTGTTTTCCTGATGGATAATAGCGGAGTGGTTTGTGGAGATTTAGGGTGGGAAGTCTATTGACGATGATTTCAGCGTGACAGGATGTGTTTTGTGTGAAAGTGTTATTTTGTTATGGTTATTTCAGAACCTTGATCTGACCCAAGACGCGCGGGCAACTCGGGCTCTGAGAGACGAGCTGGATATCATCAAGGAGAAGGTCAGTGTGAAGTCAATGGACATGTTCAAGTTTCAGATCGTATTGTCACACGTGTCAATCAGCTGACTGATGACTGACAGCTAATGATGGACTGTCATTATCAGAAATAATATGTATGATGTCTTGACCATAAGCAGGTGTCCACTTGGTGGCGGGTTACTGTAGGGTGACTTGTAAACACGGTCAGAGTTATACAGTGTTGGCAGAGGACGAGGCTGCTGCAATCTGACCCATACACCTGAACACAGGTTGATAAGTGGACACATGGCTTCGGTAAGGAATGTCATAGTATAGTTTCCTGTTTAAAATAGTTTACATCAAAATGCAGGTGTGTACAGGTGTGTTCAGATTATTGTTTTTTATTGGTAGTCCTGATTTCACACGTTTCATGAAAAGTTTTGAAAAAATCAAATTGTTAGTTTGTATAAATTAATAGTTGTAATATGTTTTGATATTAACTTTATTTATAATTTTATTCACTATGTATTCACTATGTCAGTCCCATCAAATCAAATACACAGCAGTCGTAATTTGGAGATTTTGGAAATTGTCATAACTTTATCAGTTATCCCTGACGTCAGGGTGTTATGGATAGGGTTATCAGTTTACTGTTACAGCAGTTGTACATCAGGGTGATAATGACTGCCCTACTTTCCAGCAGGTAGGGCTGTATCTGTAAGGGGGGTATCAAGCTTGAAAAGAGACATCTTGTGTCTGTCAGCAACAAGGTGTAATTGTGTTCACGTTTATTAGGACAGCACTGAGTATCATCACTCACTGTTCTGCAACATGGCCATAAGTTATCATATACAGTTTAGAGATTGCTTGTTGACAACTGGAGTGAATATGTTCTCAGCCATGACATGCTGTATGGACTGATAGTGTTGATAGGTGATTAATATTGAGATTTCATTTTAAAAACACCACCTCACTTCAGGAGTCTTGTCAGGATGGCGTATTCCAAAGGCTGATTTAAAAAAAAGGTTCCTTTTATTCTGTCTTTTAAGAAGGGGTTAGTACTATGATAATCCGTTATGATATTGCTTCTGAATATATGAGTAGGAAGACGTTTTGTTGCCATGAACAAACCCATCCCACCACATGAATGCAGAGTTAGAATGGCAAGGACGTTGCTGAATATAAGCTGCCGCCCACGCCTTGTTTGTCCATACAGTAGATTGCTCGCCTGTTTTTTACTGTGATACAATATTACTGATATAAATTCCCCATAAAGAATTGGTCCTTAGCAACATCTGCGTGCTTGTCGTAAGAGGCAATTAACAAGATCGGTTGGTCAGACTCGCTGACTTGGTTGATGTATGTCATCGTATCCCAGTTGCGTAGAACGATGCTCATGATGTCAATCACTGGATTGTCTGGTCAGGAGGCTGTTGTTTGCAGACCATATTGTGAAGTGCAGCCTTAAAATACAACCTACTTTTATAAATGAAAAAATATAATGTTATTATTCCCGTTTGGCTACAATGTGTGACTTTGACTACAATGTGTGACTTTGACTACAATGTGTGACTTTGATCATTGTTCATGCAATCAGCCTCTGGTTTGTCTGATCCAGGTGACAATCAGGATCGGGTTGTCAGGCTCACTGACTTGGTTGATGCATGTCATCATATCCCATTTGCGTGGATCGAGGTTCATAATATCAATCATTGGATTGTCTGGTCCAGACCTGAATATTTACAGATTGCCGTCATCTAGCTAGAATAGTGCTGAGTGCGGCGTTTATCAACAAACAAACAAACAAAGAAAACATGTTCATGTCACTGTCGAGTCGCTGGTTAGCTGCACATACTGAGGTGGCAAGCAATATTGACTGATTAGATTATTATCAGTTATTCATCAAATTTGAGGAGGAATTTACTTTTCAAGTTTAAATTTCTCAAAATTGACTTAAAATATGTCACTTGGAGGTAGTTACTATTGAACTCCAATTAACAACAGCAGGTGACGAGTATAGAGTCTTAGGTGAGACAGGAATTAATAGTTAACATTTGGCCTGATCTGTCAGCAAGGAAGAAGGAAAAGGTTTTGAGAATCATGACAACTGTTTCTATATCCTTCTTCAAATCAATCATAGTTTGATCACTGAACTGATATCATACAGTCTTGGCTGATTATTTCAGATAATATTGAGATGATAAAGATTTATTTCCTTGTATCCACCTTGATATATCATCTAATCAATAGTATAGTTCACTGCATTGGAGTTGTGAGTAGGGTAAGGCTGTGCAGCATGATTACAGGCTGGGGTTGTGGGTAGCATGTCTCAGTGATTACAAGCTGGGGTTGTGGGTAGCATGTCTCAGTAATTACAGGCTGGGGTTGTGGGTAGCATGTCTCAGTGATTACAAGCTGGGGTTGTGGGTAGCATGTCTCAGTGATTACAGGCTTGGGTTGTGGGTAGCATGTCTCAGTGATTACAGGCCGGGGTTGTGGGTAGCATGTCTCAGTGATTACAGGCCGGGGTTGTGGGTAGCATGTCTCAGTGATTACAGGCTGGGGTTGTGGGTAGCATGTCTCAGTGATTACAAGCTGGGGTTGTGGGTAGCATGTCTCAGTGATTACAGGCCGGGGTTGTGGGTAGCATGTCTCAGTGATTACAGGCTGGGGTTGTGGGTAGCATGTCTCTGTGATTACAGGCTGGGGTTGTGGGTAGCATGTCTCAGTGATTACAGGCTGGGGTTGTGGGTAGCATGTCTCAGTGGTTACAGGCTGGGGTTGTGGGTAGCATGTCTCAGTGATTACAAGCTGGGGTTGTGGGTAGCATGTCTCAGTGATTACAAGCTGGGGTTGTGGGTAGCATGTCTCAGTGATTACAGGCTGGGGTTGTGGGTAGCATGTCTCAGTGATTACAAGCTGGGGTTGTGGGTAGCATGTCTCAGTGACCAAGGTTGGGGTTGTGGGTAGCATGTCTCTGATTACAAGCTGGGGTAAGTGGAGATTGTCAAGACACCACATTGGCTGTAATGGAGACAAGCTAACATTAAGATGTGAAACAGAGCAGGGCTTTGCTAGTATGTAGTGAGGCATTAGTCATGGAAAGATACATACTGTTTCTCTGGCCTGCTGTAATGTGTTGTTGCATGATCAACTCATGCTCTGTATCACTATCAGTGGTAGTGATTTGTAACACCATGGTTCCATGATTTGAACAGTGGAAACTTACTGAAGTCAACTTCTTGAACTTCTTAAACTTGTAATGTTAGTTTGCATGGGCTGGCTCTACACTGGTCAACATTAGGCATTGGGTCAATGGTCCCTTGGTGACCGTAATCTATTGTAAGATATTTAGAGGGGCTCTCTTGTGCAGGGTGAAAAAAAGGCCATTTTGTAATAAAATATGAAGTGCTTTTGCATTTTGTCATTCAGGGAAGTCATGATTGAAATGTACAAGGACATGGCGAGGGTCATCCAAAAATATGACAAGTATTAGGGGAGGGTCAATATTTTCAGTATGTGGTGCATCAAAAACCTCTGACCCACCCACCCTTGTAATAAATGACAGGTCCCTTTTCATTGTTAGGACATAAAGATTTAATGAGTCCTTAGATTCAAATGCTGTAGCAGCAAACCCCCAGGACACTAGGTGTCCCATTATTTTTTAACACTGTGATAGCAGTAGTGCCAGTGCCAGCTTGAACATCGTCCCAGTTTGACCTCAGCGATTCACCCAGTTATCCAAGCATGAAATAGTAGTGGAGTAATACGAATGCCAACAGACTCGCTCAACCGTTGATTGGCTGTTGTGTTGTACAGTCACACTGATGTTGGTAATCGACGAGTTAGTAGATGCTTGTTACCTGCACCAGATCCCTGTGAGTCTGTTGAGATTCCAGGGTGGACTTCATGCCAATGAAACTGTTTGTCGTAAGAGCTAACATAAGTGTACCGGGTGGTCAGGCTCAAGTGACGTGGTTGATTGTGTGTCATCATAACCAGCAGAGGACGTTGTTCATAATATCAGCCATTGGTTTTTCTGGTTAAGACTGGATTATTTACAGGTTGACGTGATATTGCTGAAATAATGCCGACTACGGTGCTAAACAACTTCCATCAATTCACTAGCCTGCTCAAAGACATTACAGGGGCAGTGGGGTAGCCTAGTGGTTAAAGCGTTCGCTCATCACATTGAAGACTCGATTCCCTAACATGGGTACAATGTGTGAAGCCCGTTTCTTTTGTCCCCCGCTGTGATATTGCGAGGATACTGCTTAAAGCAGCGTATAACGATACTCACTCACTTCAAAGCATTACAAGCCAGCAATATGCTTTGATACTGCGTTTTAATCTAAATACATGTATTCTTAATGTATAACTTCTCGTCACGATATGGCTGAAATATTGCCAATGAGACATTAAATATTAACTCACTCACTGATATTGTGTTTTGGTTCTGATGTGTGTTGTTCCCCTCCACAGGCGAGCAAGGTGGACACATACGAGAAGGAGATCAGCAAGTACAAGGAGCGGCTGAATGAGCTGGAGTTCTACAGGGCTCGCATGGAGGTGAGCTACAGGCCCTCAGGCCGCATGTACATACTGCCGCAGCAGCAGAGCACAACATTGTCCCAGTCATTCAAAAACACACTTTTAATATTAAGAACTGTATTGAAATTTGAATAATAACAAATTCTTAGACTTATCCTATCTACATGCATATCTCCTTATTTCGATCCACAGTGGAAAAATAGTTTATTGCAATATTTATTATTTTGTGTAGTTAACTGTGTATTTCAGGATGTATTACAACTACACTTGTACACTCCAATCTGTGTATGAAACACATACAGCAGTATGTTCATGTACTTGATGAATATGTAGGGACACCCCTTAAAAGCCTGAAATTCTACTAGCCCTTAGGATTTTGCATGTGCGGCTAGCATGCTGGTAAAATGAGCATAATGTTATCTCTGATTGCTTTTACCCTTTTTTTAAACATTGAATCTGACAATTTCCACACAAAAATAAATCTTTACAACAGCATTTGCTTGAATGTCAGAATGCATATTTTAAATCCTATTTAAGTCCTATCCTATTCAGTTCATGTTTCAACATACAGAAAAACGTATTGTGGCAGTATATTGTTCGATGTTTCCTTAATACAGACATCTAAGTTTTGCACAGTTTCCCTTAGCCATGCCATGATGCTGTGATTGTGCTCATCAGGTTCAATAAAGTGGTATAGGGCTAAGATCTGCTTTACTTTAAGGCTTTCCTCCCACATTAAGATGACATGCAGAAATACTGAATACTGCTCAAAGCAGCATTAAACCCAACTCACTCACTCACTCACTCACTCACTCACTCACTCACTCACTCACTCACTCACTCACACACTCACTCACTCACTCACTCACTCACTCTGTGTGTGTCTCCCTGCAGGAGCTGAGGGAGGAGAACAACATCCTGGAGGAGACGAAGACAGTACTGGAGGACCAGCTAGCCAGCAGCCACAAGCGGGTCGAGACCGTACGCGAGCTCGAGAATGAGCTGCTTAAGTTCCGCGAGCTCACCCAGGAAATGACTGCTGTAAGTACCGGCTGCCTACTGATGAACAACTGAATCTGTTTTGAAAACAGGAAATTATGACTTGACAATAACAAGGGTTTAGTGATGTTTATTTATGATGTTTAGGTAGTCTTAGAATATCTTAGACAGTGAAGGGTTTTTTAGATTATGTCGGATGTTTCGGCTGTGGTTATCACAGACTATATGTTTGGCTGACAGATGGGATAAGGTTTGGTGTTATCACACACAGGGTTGGCATTAACCCATCTGTATGGGGTTCATGTTAAGACTCTCTTGGGTTGGAGGTAACACAGAGGTGATGTGGATTGTATGGGCTGAGTTAAACACAAACTAAAGTGAGTCAGACGTACCACAGACTAAAGCACAGACATTGCTTCTGTAGGAGAGAGATGGTGACCGGGAGAAGATCCAACAATTGACTGAAGACATCTTACGACTGGAAATGGACAAGAGGAACTCGATGAATGAGAGCGCCAACCTCGAACAGGAGCTGCAGGATGCCAGACACAAGCCGGGAGGTGAGGGCTGCTGTAGTATGGCCTGGTCTGTAGACTGTATAGACCTGTGTGGTGGAGTGTTTGTAAGGGCAGTCATATGTCAGGTATCATAGTGAGAGCCCAGGCCTGATGCTGACAAACCATTGTACATCAATCCCCTGTGAGGCTTTACTCACAAATAGATTAAATATACAGCCGTTATTGCCACCAATTTTCTTGGACATGTTTGCTTGTGTGTAATTGTAATATTGTCACCAATCATATTGGAGCAGCACTAGCTCATTTTTGTCACAAGACATGATGAAGAAGGATGCAGGAAAACATCTAAATTTAAGTAATTTGATCCAATCTCATGATTATCTTGTTTATTATGAAGTTAAGTTGGGACTATAAGACTTGTGTCAGTTTCTAACACTGTTGTTCTGTTTCAGTTGTAAGTGGCTCCCTGTCCGACCAGCTGAGCGAGACGTCAAATGCTCGGATCCTACGGCTGCAGCTGGAGAACCAACAGCTGCATGAGAAGCTTCAGGAGGCATCTGAGAACGCGCTGATCCAGAACACAGCCATCAACCTGGAGAACGAGAAGGAGATCCAGAGACTCTCGAAGAAGCTGGAGAAGCTCCAGGAAAGCAACTCCCTGGCGTCCCAGGAATGTCTGGACATGGAGGAGCAGAAGGACGAGCTGAGTCGGGAGAAGGAGAAGTTGATCGTCACCCTGGAGATGGTGAAGGAGAACAGTGATCGGCAAGTGCGCGAACTGGAGGCCGAGAACGAGCATCTCACACAAACCATTGATGTTCTCCGGGAACGCAATGAGAAGTCGAATGATGCTCGTATTAAAGATTTGGAAAGGGAGAATCGAAGACTTCATGAAACTGTGTCGACTAAGAATGCTATGCTTTCAAAACTTGAGTTTGAAACAAAACAGTTACACAGGTCTTATCAAAAGTTGAAGGAAAATGTTGACACAGTGCCAGAACTGGAGAATGAAAATGCAAAACTGGAAAAGGAAAATTCTGAAATGCATAAACAGATTACAACACTAGAGCTAACCTGTGATAAACTTAGTACTGTGGAACAAGAGATTTCTGATTTAGATGTGGAGAACAGGAAGTTGACAAAAACTGTGGACACGTTGCAGAATTCTCTCAGGAAGAAGGAACAGTTAGAGGAACAGAATATCAACTTGACAGTGGAAAATCAGAAACTGCAGAGAATGTTAGACTCTTTACGTGATTCCTCAGAGAAAAATTTCCAGTTAGAAAATGATAAGGATGTGTTAAATAGAGAAATACAACAGCTGAAGAAATCCCTGGAATCTCAGAAGCAACATAAAGCGAAACAAGAACAGATGGAATTTGAACTGTTAGACATAGACAACGAAAATCAAAGACTTCAGAAGTCTCTAGATATCACAACTAGGAGGATGGAACAATTAGAAAATGATAACTCCGATCTAGAAAATGAAAATGAAAAGTTAGCTAAAACATTAGAATCAATGAAAGTGTCAATCAAAAGGTTAGAAGAGAAAGAGAAAGAAGCTTTGGAGACCGAAACAGAATTGAGTGAACTGCAAAAAGAGAGGGCAACTCTGGAGAAGGAAAACAAAAAATTAAGGCAGTCGCTAGAGTTACGTGACTCGTCCTATGAAGAGCTGACAGCTCGGAACACAGCCATGGAGCAGCAACACAAGTCTCTGAAGAAGTCGGTGGAGAAACTGAAGGAGACCTGTGCCCGAGTCCGGGACCTCGAGAAGGAGAACAAGGAACTCATGCAGGAGGTGCACCTGGACAAGAAGACCATCCCCACACTCAGGGAGGTAAGTAATGCCCTGTCTGTCTTGTGGTTGCTGTGGTGGTGGGACAGATGCTGGTCAAAGAGCATTTGCTAACCTGTGGGAATTCGGGGTAAGAATATAGGCCCCCCCCAAGCTTGCTAACTTGGTTGATACATGTCATATCCTAATTTCATGTTTTGATGCTCATGTAAGTGACTGGATTGTCTAGACTCGATTATTTACACACCACCGTCCTATAGCTGGTATATTGCTGAGGGCAGTGTTAAAACGACAAATGAATAAAAAGTACAGCATTTGCTTATTATGTTTATATTGCCAACATGGGTACAATGCGTGAAGCCCAAACTAAGTGTCACCTGCCCTGACATGGCTGAAATATTGCATATATATTAAGCATTGGTTTCTGTACATAAGTATATTTTAAAGGCAAATTCAAAGCCTCAGTCTTGTAATGAGTAAGGGTAATTTAAGTGACAGTTGTAAGATTCGTTTTCTGCATGGTACTTCTGTGTATTTCAGGACCTGGTGAATGAAAAGATTAAGTCCACCACTCTGTGCAATGAGTTGGAGACCTTGAAACATGAGTTGGAGCGGGTTGGCATCAACCGGGAGAAGCTGGTCATGGCTGAACAGATGCAGGATGATAGGTGAGAAGTTATCACCACTTTGTGGACCCAAATTCCATCAACAAATATCATTATACGTGTAGTCCCAACAGAATCCTTATCAGCAAAATGGGTTAATATTGACATTCCCATTGTCAACAAATACTGTAACTTAATGCAAATTTGATGCTTCCCCAGGACTTCAACATGATTAGGTTTCACGGTATTTGTTTCAATGATTAAACCAGGTACTTGTTTCAATGTTACTGACACTGTCGACCTCAAGCATGGGGATCGTTTTCACAAAGAAATAAGAGCTTAGATAGTCAAAGGGATTGTTGTTTTAAGCCACAGTTGTTGAAAGTGCTATGTATTTTCAGTTAAGAACAACCAGGTTCTTTTCACATGATGTATGTTGGTTATGTAACCCAGATTTTAGCTAGCTTTCACTACATGTGTGATTCTTGACAGCCGCTACCAGGCGCTGGAGTCAATGATGGAGGACGCCTTCAAGAAGAGTCTGGATTTGAAGGAGCAAAAAATTCAACTCCTTGAGAGCAGGTCAGAATAAGTGTCCTTCTTCAAATCTACCAAGGGGCAGTGGGGTAGCCTAGTGGTTAAAGCGTTTGATCGTCACTCCGAATATCCAGGTTCGATTCCCCACATGGGTACAATGCTGGATATTGCTGGAATGTTGTTAAAAGCGGCGTTAAACCACACTTACACACTTACACACTCACTCACTCACTCACTCAAATATACATAATCTACCTTCAATAGATGTCCATTGTCCATGACTTGCTTACTCTAGGAAATGTAAGTCGCAACAATGTATTATAGGTAGGGGTCCCATTTTTGTTGAGCATATTGACCAGGATGATGATATTGGTGTTATGACTATCCTAACTCACGTGGTTTCCCCCGATTATGTTGCTAGGTTTGTCAGCATCTTACCTGGCTCGTGGGTTTTACCAAAGTGGTAAACATCTGAGACCTGCATCACTTCAGGCTTTCCTCCCACATTTAGCTGACAGCTGTGATATAACTGGAATACTATTCAAAGGGGCATTAAACACAACTCACTCACTCACTCCCTTACACACACATGAACACAGACCAATGATAGTCACATCATGTTTTGAGAATTTGTTCTTAGTATTTGCAGTGAAGTTGACTTGTTTGGTGTGTTAGGTTGGAGGAGTCAAAGAGCTGGAACCAGAGGCTGAATGAGGAGCTGCGAGAGGCACGGCGCGAGGCTGAGATGCTGAAACAGAGATATGAGGAAGAGGAGAACTTCCGGGAGAGTGACAGGTCAGGATCTTCTACCTGTAAAAACACACCTGTGATGTTCATCATCCTGATCATGTTGTTATGTTTCAGTATTGAATAGGTTTAAGACTTTTGTCTAGTTTACTCTGTTACTGTTGTTACAGGAAGAACGAATCTGTGCGGTCGGAGCATCACCATCATCATCATGCCACACAGGACATCCTGGATCTCAAGGACCATCTAGTGCAGGTGGAGAGGACGGTAGGTACTCGTCAGTCACATTCACACTTGTGCAATTGGGCGGTTAACACTCAGAGTATGTTCCCTTACTCTAGAGGATAGTGTGTCCCCCTTGCTCTAGAGGATGGTATGTTCCCCTTACTCTGTAGAATGGTATGTTCCCCCACTTATGGAATGGTTTGTTCCCTTACTCTAGAGGATGGTATGTTCCCCTACTTATGGAATGGTTTGTTCCCTTACTCTAGAGGATAGTATGTCCCCCTTGCTCTAGAGGATGGTATGTTCCCCTTACTCTGTAGAATGGTATGTTCCCCCACTTATGGAATGGTTTGTTCCCTTACTCTAGAGGATGGTATGTTCCCCAACTTATGGAATGGTTTGTTCCCTTACTCTAGAGGATAGTATGTCCCCCTTGCTCTAGAGGATGGTATGTTCCCCTTACTCTGTAGAATGGTATGTTCCCCCACTTATGGAATGGTTTGTTCCCTTACTCTAGAGGATGGTATGTTCCCCCACTCTATGGAATAGTTTGTTCCCTTACTCTAGATGATGGTATGTCCCCCCACTCTATGGAATGGTTTGTTCCCTTACTCTAGAGGATGGTATGTTCCCCCACTCTATGGAATGGTTTGTTCCCTTACTCTAGAGGATGGTATGTTCCCCCACTCTATGGAATAGTTTGTTCCCTTACTCTAGAGGATGGTATGTTCCCCCACTCTATGGAATGGTTTGTTCCCTTACTCTAGAGGATGGTATGTTCCCCCACTCTATGGAATAGTTTGTTCCCTTACTCTAGAGGATGGTATGTTCCCCCATTCTATGGAATGGTTTGTTCCCTTACTCTAGAGGATGGTGTGTCCCCCTTGCTCTTGAGGATGGTATGTTCCCCTTATTCTGTAGAATGGTATGTTCCCCCAATCTATGGAATAGTTTGTTCCCTTACTCTAGAGGATGGTATGTTCCCCCACTCTATGGAATAGTTTGTTCCCTTACTCTAGAGGATGGTATGTTGCCCCACTCTACGGAATAGTTTGTTCCCTTACTCTAGAGGATGGTATGTTCCCCCACTCTATGGAATAGTTTGTTCCCTTACTCTAGAGGATGGTATGTTCCCCCACTCTATGGAATAGTTTGTTCCCTTACTCTAGAGGATGGTATGTTCCCTCACTCTATGGAATAGTTTGTTCCCTTACTCTAGAGGATGGTATGTTCCCCCACTCTATGGAATGGTTTGTTCCCTTACTCTGTGGAATGGTATGTTCCCTTACTCTAGAAAAACTGTATGCTTGCACCCATGCAGTAGGGCTGTATACAAAGTCTATGTTCATGCTCAGCTCTAATGTATATATTAAAATATTTGTGTGTTTATTGTTTGACATGATTTATTTACATTCACAGTATTTTCATCAAACAACATTGTAGCACCAAGTAGACACTGTTAAGTAAGTTTGTCCTATATTTCCAGAATGCTACACTCATGTCAGAGAACAGTAACCTGAAAAGCCAGAACACCGTCCTGAATGACCAGCTTCATAAACTGGATGATCAGAATCTCAACCTACAGTCCAGGACGTCCTCACTCCAGGAGCAGTTCGTCACCTTGCAGTCTCAAAATGCCAAGCTCCAGGTTGAAACCACAACCCTCCAGTCCAAGTGTTCCTCTCTCTTCTCACACAACAACGCTCTCCAGAGTCAAATGTCCACCCTGGAGTCAGAACACGAACTGTTGATCCAAAACCACGAGGATCTCCAGACATCACACGAGTCCTTCGTTTCGGACCATGAGGCCCTGCAGCAGCTTCATGAACAACTGACCACGGACTACGAGTCGCTCATCTCCGAGCATGGGTCCCTGAAGTCCATCCACAAGTCTCTGAAGAATGAGCTGAAGGACCTTCAGGAGCAGCTGGACTCCTTGCTGCAGGGGAAAGATGATGTCAACAAGCTGCGAGACATTCTGGAGCGGGAGAGAGAGCAGCTCAAGTCGGAACTCCGGGCTCTGGGCAATCTTCAGATGGACTATGATAAGCTACGGGACGAGCATGATCGATTAAGGAGTGGGTATGATAAGCTGAGTCAGGAATATCGCGGGGTTTTGACTGATCACAAGCAGCTGAAGAAAGACAACCACACACTGAATCTGAAGAACACAGAGATGACAGGCGAGGTCAGGGAATATAAGGACACCATAACCAACATGGATATAGAAATGCAGAAACTGGAGAACAGGTTTGATGTGAGTTTCACTTTCTGTATTGGGGCAGTGGGTAGCCTGGTGGATATAGTTGAAGTCTCATCCAGTGGAAGACCCTTGGTTCAATTCCCATATGGGTAAAGTCTGTTAAGCCTTTCTTCTTCTCTGGTGTAATATTGCTAAAATACTTCAAAATCTTTATTAGACAATACCAAAATCTAAAATTAAGCATGAATGTCAAAGGGTCTTGTGTCAGCCCTAATGTTAAAAGATTAATAGATCCCTAGATTCAAATACTATTGGAGCAAAATCTCAAGGACCCACAGGACAAACACACACGCTTGCACTTACAAATGCACGCACCACATGCACACCCCGACCAGCCCTTTAGTTGCCAGGTATGCATATTGTATTATTAGTGTAATGTTAACTTGTATTTTCTGTGAATCTAATAAGACTATTGTTATCGCTCTCCATGGCAGGCCTTGTACCAGGTGAACCAGAAGCTGGATGAGGAGAACCGGGCATTGCTGTACCAGGTGCAGCAGCTCCTCAATCAGAACCAAGACCTCCTCACTCAGGCCCTCAACAGCAAGGACCAACAGCAGGAAGAGCAGAAGTCCTACATGTAAGTAGTGGCAGACACGGGTGGACTGTACCTGGCTATGCTGGGACGGCAGGTATCGGAAGTCCCATGTCTATAATAGCAGACAGGGGTGGACTGTACCTGGCTATGCTGGGATGGCAGGTATCGGAAGTCCCATGTCTATAATAGCAGACAGGGGTGGACTGTACCTGGCTATGCTGGGACGGCAGGTATCGGAAGTCCCATGTCTATAATAGCAGACAGGGGTGGACTACCTGGCTATGCTGGGACGGCAGGTATCGGAAGTCCCATGTCTATAATAGCAGACGGGTGGACTGTACCTGGTAATGGTGGGACGGCAGGTATCGGAAGTCCCATGTCTATAATAGCAGACGGGTGGACTGTACCTGGTAATGGTGGGACGGCAGGTATCAGAAGTCCCATGTCTATAATAGCAGACGGGTGGACTGTACCTGGCTATGCTTGGACGGCAGGTATCGGAAGTCCCATGTCTATAATAGCAGAAGGGTGGACTGTACCTGGCTATGCTGGGACGGCAGGTATCGGAAGTCCCATGTCTATAATAGCAGACAGGGGTGGACTGTACCTGGCTATGCTTGGACGGCAGGTATCGGAAGTCCCATGTCTATAATAGCAGACAGGGGTGGACTGTACCTGGCTATGCTGGGATGGCAGGTATCGGAAGTCCCATGTCTATAATAGCAGACAGGGGTGGACTGTACCTGGCTATGGTGGGACGGCAGGTATCAGAAGTCCCATGTCTATAATAGCAGACAGGGGTGGACTGTACCTGGCTATGCTGGGACGGCAGGTATCGGAAGTCCCATGTCTATAATAGCAGACAGGGGTGGACTGTACCTGGCTATGGTGGGACGGCAGGTATCAGAAGTCCCATGTCTATAATAGCAGACAGGGGTGGACTGTACCTGGCTATGCTGGGACGGCAGGTATCGGAAGTCCCATGTCTATAATAGCAGACAGGGGTGGACTGTACCTGGTAATGGTGGGACGGCAGGCACAAGCAGTCCCACATGTGCACAGTGGTAGACACAGGAGTGTGCTGTATGTGGCTATCTTGGGTCACAGCTGGGATCAGCAATACTACATGTACACAGGGGCAGACACAGGGGTGTGTCAGGGCCATCTTGCTTACCAGAAAGTGTATGCGTTTCAACAGAAGAGTTCTGGTTAAATTGGTGATGTGGAAAAGAATGTTAAAATGCTCATAATGTTAATTACGATTACAGAGAGAAGTTGGCTGATCTGCGTCGTCAGAAAGAACGTCTTGAGGAGAAGATCATGGAACACTACAAGAACAGATGGGACTCTCCCAAAAAGTAAGTTGTCCTCTGTGTTAACCACCTTCAGGTTGCATGATGCTTCCATAACAAGATGCTATGACAGCTGGGTTGCTGACCAGGATCAGACCTCGTCGATGGGTGTTCTCTTGCGCGTGTCTTCATCACAATGTATGTCTGTCTGTCTGTCTGTTCCAGGAACAAGGGTTTTGGTGCTATGATAGCCAGGAAGGCCAAGGGAATTATTTCTCGGGTAAGAATATTTTTTGTACACCCTTTTAATCAGGATCCCTTCTTCTAGACAGTCGCTGTTGGGAATGTCTATAAGCTGTGAAGATGAGGCAAGGTGAAGTGGGGTTACTGTTGCATTCAAAACTATAGCATGTATAGCGACCTGAATGTAGGAATCTAGACTAATGTTTTACATGGATACCCCACTCAGACTCTAAAGCCTCTTTGTTTTATCCCCTTAATGCCTCCTGTCATTCAGCATAACAACAAGTACCATCTTTTAACGTCTCTCGGGATTACGCTGCCGGGAATGGAACCAGCTCTCAGGCAGACGCTCTGTCCACTAGACCATGGAGGTGGCCCTGTTAATAGTTAAAAGGATAATATAAGATAGCTACACAATAAATCGCAAAGGACAATGAAGAACGAAGCGTGGTTTAATTGACAATAAAACATTGTTCTATCATGACATCATTTCTGGAAATTCGCATATGTGCTCGCAACTTTATGACATTGTAAACTGGATGACAATACTTTTGAGAGGGTTGTGAGTTATTCCCCATAGATGTAGCTGGGCAACATAGATAAATGCAATGGCTGATTGATCACGTCCAAAAGTGGGACAGATGTGTCAATCGGAATTGGGAGAAAAGGGACAGATAATTGACTGAGAATTGTGAGAATATGCTGGAAAGACTAAATTTAACTCCCCTGTTCATAAAATGTACTTGTCTGACATTGCCGAGATGGGATTCTATTCAGGGAGTCATCATTATTTAAATATGGGTAAACATTTTTAAAGCTTGTACATTTTATCAACACCCTTTAAGAGGGTGTACATAATATTGATTTCTCATAACAGAAATAAAAGACTCTTGGTCGGTGTTTATCATACAATAAAACACTGCAGTAAGTGCATTCGGCCATTGCTTCCTCATGGTTTATTCTCCCTGCAGAGTTTTATTGTACAATAAACAACTCCCACTCATCTTTTATTTCTTAATTACTACATAGGGTGACACCCTGGCCATGTTACAGGGTATATTGTCCTATTTTTGCTTAGTTCAGTTTGAAATCCACACATTGCACACATTCATCTTTGAGGCTACAGTGTGTCACTGTCTGGTATTTCAGAGACAACGAAGTAAAAGTCGACCAAATTTGGCATCGGAGAGTCCAGAGAACTCCACCATTGGGTCTGTGTCTCATGGGGAGTCGGGTGACCAGATCAACGACAGTCGGAAATCAGGTAAGCTGGTTGTGGGCAGATACAGGGTGGTGCATGTGGTATAAGCTGTATATACACCTCACGTGGATGGGTGGCACAAGGCTCAGGCCTGGTAATGGTGATAGTTATATGTGTAAGTAGTGAAGGTGTCTGTCCAGTTAGTATTAAAATATACTGAAGATGATGAGTTTAGGGATCATGAATATTTTTGGGTATATTTGTTTTTGTAGTGAAGATTAGCACACAGTTTCTTAAACACATGTTCCTGATATAGGAATCATACTAACAGGATTTCTGTTGGATATGGAAAGGGTTTTGTCGCTTTATTATTGTTAAAAAATATCCCCAAACATATTCATGATCCTTAAGTTTTTTGTACAGTGTATGTTATTTTAGATTGTGAGATGTTTATGGAAACTCACTAATATCTGTTTTGTGGATTATGCAGTGTAGCAATAGGTCTGTTGAAAGTTGTAGCAGTGAGATTCCAGCAACTATTTCACGTGGTTATACTTGTAGTGATAGAAGATTAACATCCTTCCTGATTAGTTAGTGATGTGAATTCCTCTATTTGGTTCATTTGGGCAGTATTGGGCTGGTATATCTGCACGATTGTTCTCACATTCAGATTCAGAAATAATGTGTTGTCCAACTTGAGACAGGAAATCCTGTTCTAATATCTGCATGTTGTTAACCTTGTTTTTTTGTGTACCTTGCATGTTGCATGATAAATTCCCACTGCCTGTGCACTTAACATCACCCTTCTAACATCATGTGCACGTTCTGCCGAACATCGTGTCAGCTGGACACTCCACTGTTCCTGTGCTCTGTTCACAAGTTGATGTTAGGGCCAAATCTTACTTATTCCTTGATTATTAGGTTTGTCCGCACCATGTCCACGTGTTTCAGAAGAAGCAGCCGACATTTCTTGGTACTTAATACCCCTTTATGGTGACATAACTGAAATACTGTAAAGTGTTATAGTAGAACCCCATCTCAGTGACTCACTCCACTCCTCTCCACTCCACTCCACTCCACTCCACTCCACTCCACTCCACTCCACTCCACTCCACTCCACTCAGCACACTGCACATTGTTATTCCTCAATGACTCACTCCACTCCACTCCACTCCACTCCACTCCACTCCACTCCACTCCACTCCACTCAGCACACTGCACATTGTTATTCCTCAATGACTCACTCCTCTCCACTCCACTCCACTCCACTCCACTCCACATTGTTATTCCTTGAAATATCAGTACAATATTGTACAGCTCAAGACTGCACCTAACGCCAGTACAACATTGTACATGTTATAGGCTCTGCATTGCTATGTCAGCCAGTGTCAGAATTATCTGCCAGTCATTTGAAGAATGAGGTTGAAATGACCGAGGGGAGGGAAGCACTCTAACACATAATTAACATCGGCATGATTTTTGCCAAGATTTTCTTGCATGATCGGTTTAGTGTTACTGTTATTTTTTGGTTTAAGAAACCTAAAATGTTATCAAAAGATTTTCTTCATCTTCTTTAACTATTGGAATGATCTGAAAGTATTTATATATGACAAACACAGTAATGAGCAAGTTCTCCTTTTCCCTTTCCTAAAGTAATGTTTCAGTTTTTTTCATGTTAATTGTAACTCTTTTATACCATGTTTTAGAATCAAGTATTATTTAACAAGTTCATTGTTTTTGACACATTTGTTTTGTTTGCCACTAACTCAGACAAGCGAACGAGGCGGTGTAGCGAGGGTAGTGCGCTACTGGCCACGCCCAAACTGGCAAAGCAAAATAAAAGTCTAGCCAAATCCACCACTGCTCTCAACTTCACGCAATCTCCTAAGGATAGGCCGAAACTCCGAGGTAAACATTTCCATCTTGTGCAGTTCTCCAGTCCCTGCATGGATGTTTAAGTCTTGGTGTTGTGCTTTTTTTATTTTTTATCTATTGTGGTTGTGGATTGAATCATTTCTGATTTATTTTGTACCAATGCAGAAAATGCATGTTGAGAATTAGTTCACATGGTAGACATTACACAATTTTGATGATGTTCAGATCTGAAGTTGCCCGAGTCGGGTGTCATTGTTTATTCCAATATGGAAAAGGCTAATTAATCATCATTTTCTATTTTTCGTGTCTTTCTTCAAATGTTTCATCATTTCAACATTCAGTTCAGACATAATTCTAACAATCTCCATAGATATGTGTTGCTGTGATTCTCTCTGATTGTACTAATTCTAGTAGTAACACATTACTTGTCTGTAAAGTATTAAGATTATGTGAAGTATATATTAGTTGGTGCGCCCAGGACTCACCAGAAGCTCAGTTCTGTAGTGCTATGATCCCTCCTCCTTTTAAATGCAGGGATGAGTTTGAAATGTTACTGACAGCATATCATATGTGTCCCCTGTCTTTGATTTAGGCCTGTAATGGCTGTCATTGAGTTCGATATCAGTGTATTTGAGCAGATTTTCTTTGTTTTTTGTCTGCTGATTTTGATTCCGTTCTATCAGATGTGCATGTCCTGCTGTGAGAAAGAGATGTTTCAGTGTAACTGTCTAGAATCCTGTGTTGTGCATGTTGTCCATGGCTGTAGCATGTAGTGACTACAAGCCTCAATTGTCACCTGCTGGAGGTCTTAAATAAGCATGTTCCTCTGCAGCTGTGGTCCTAGTAGAACATGTGTTGTACCTGGCTAGAACATGTGTTGTACCTGGCTAGAACATGTGTTGTACTTGGCTAGAACATGTGTTGTACTTGTTGTGTGTAGCCAGAACATGTTGTACTTAGTTAGAACATATGTTGTACTTAGCTAGAATGTGTTGTACTTGACTAGAGCATGTGTTGTACTTGGCTAGAACATGTGATGTACTTGGCTAGAACATGTGTTGTACTTGGCTAGAACATGTGTTGTACTTGGTTAGAACACATGTTGTACTTGAGTAGAGCATTTGTTGTACTTGGCTAGAACATGTGTTGTACTTGGCTAGAACATGTGTTGTACTTGGCTAGAACATGTGTTGTACTTGGCTAGAACATGTGTTGTACTTGGCTAGAAAATGTGTTGTACTTAACTAGAACAGGTTTTGTACTTGGCTGAAACGTGTTGTGCTTGGCTAGAACATGTGTTGTACTTAGCTAGAATGTGTTGTACTTGACTAGAGCATGTGTTGTACTTGGCAAACCTGTCCATCATTAAATAGCTCCTCATGAGTTACGGCCAATAATTAGACTAGTGACACATCTCACATTGATGAGCAATCAGGTTATGGAGCTGACAATAATGGCCCTCCCCTAATGCTTGCCGTATTTTTGGATGACCCTCCCTATGTCCTTGTATATGTTTTTCATGACCTTCCCATTAAAGACAATGCAAAAGCACTACTAGAACTATTTTATTGTATAAGGTCCATTGTTTCATGACCCTCTGCAAATACGTGTATCATTTTTTATGACCCTCCCCTAGAGACTCTCATATTTTTGGGTGACCCACCCACCCCCTATAACAAATGACCGGTCCCTAATATGAAAGAATCGGTGGTCCTTAACTTTTATGTCATCCTAGTGGGTGGAATAGATACAGGTGGCCAGTAGACAACACTGGTTACGATAGTCACCTGGCTAAATGTTTGGCATCAGGATATGATGGAGTCACAAGGGGTGAACTCAGAGCATCATTTGAAGCTTTCAACCCACTTTGAGCAGACATGCCTTAAGTGGAGTATACTTTGACGACGCAGATATCATGGCAGGGAGCACCAGAAATTGGTACATACATTGTACCCATATGGGAATCAAACTCGGGCCTTCGGTATGACAAGCGAAAGCTTTAACCACTCGGCCTGCCATGCCATGATATAACTGGAATACTGTCCTCAAGTTAAAATCAACTCACCTAGTCATGTCAGCCCAGGTTGAGGGGCAGTGTCAAACATATCTGACCAGTCTGTGCTTGCTGGGGTAGGCAGGTTTGCCTTTGTGTTGTTGCTGTATGTGTGTACTTTTGCTGGGATAATGGGAGCTTGGTTGTTCGCTGCAGGTGCAAAATCCAGTGAGGATATCGTGGGTGACTTGTCACACAATGGGAGCGGGGAGAAGGACTCCATGTCGTCTGGCAACTCCACACAGCTTCTACCAGGTAGTGCCGGCAGTGTATAGAGTTGTGATGCAAAGCAGTGTTAGCTAGTCAACATGTACTGGTTGTGGGACTTCATTCAGCCATAGTGGATAACAGAATAGAATATTGCAAGGAAGGCAAAGTGCCCAGGTCATAAGCCTTATGTAAAGATTTTGAAATTGAAGTAATTATGCCCAAATCCTCAAGGGATTACCATTAATTTCTCATATATTTTGCTGATGTTACCTTGCAAATACTGTGTTGGGATTCGGGGTTAGAATTGGGGATCCCAGCAACCTATGTCATAAGAGGTGACCAAATGGATCGGATGGTCCAGTTCGGTGACTTGTCAACAGCATGTCATAGTACCCCAGTGGATCGTTGCTCACAATATTGATCACTGGATTGTCTGGCCCAGACATTTACAGGCTGCTGTCATATAGCTGGAATATTGCTGAGTGCAGAGTTAAACAACAGACAAACAAATCCAGCAAATTGTGTGGAATCCACTTGGCAGTAGATGGCTTTTACATGCAAAGAATTGTTTTTCAAACTCAGAAATCTTTTTCATATGAGCTGTAGTTGATACCACAGAAACCCTGTGGTGATTCCAGGGTAGAATCGGTCCCTAGCAACAAATGCTTGTCATAAAAGGCAACTTAATGGATTGGGTGGTCTGATTCAGTGACATGGTTTATTGCATGTCATCATACCCAAATGGCATCAATGGTTGCTCATAATATCAATAACTGGATTGTATGGTCAAACCTTGATTATTTATGGGCCTCTGTCATGTTGCTGGAATATTGCTGAGTGCGGTTAAACAACAAACAAACAATACTCGGTTCTTGCTAACATGGATTATGTGCTTTTGTATACAACCCATATTGTCCAGTTAGGAAGCACTGTTTGCATTATGTTAACAAGAGCTGCTGTGTGTAGGTTTGGGACGCCAATACCAGGCTGCAGATGAGGAAGCCGGCTTCATGCCTCTGTCCCCAAAGTCTCCTGTTGCCCGGCGACCAGGCTCTCCTGGAAGCGAGATGCTCACCCTGGAACAGTTCCTGAATGAGGCCAACAAGCAGAGTCCTCCAGTAAGTCACAACCTGATCAGGCCTTAACATTGTATGGTTGATAGATTTACATTTACATGCAAATTATTGGTGCCATGCAGTCATATGACTGTAATATTGCTTGTGTAAAACCAGATTTTAATTTATATTTAATCACTGTACTTGTCGTGACATAATATAGCAACTGCAAAAAATGTTTTTAAAATAGTGCAATATTAAGTCCACATGAAGTTTATCTTTATCTTATCTTTAATTGTATTTAGCTATGATGCCAGAGCCAGGGATGAGTTTTGCGAGTCAGACCTACTCTTGAGTGTAATTCTGGAGTTTGTATTTCATTTTTTTTCGCATTATCCTCTTCTCAAGTTGTATGAATGTTGTGTTCCAGAAGAAACCAGCAGACCGGAGGAGTCAGGATGATGCCGAGTCCCGCAGTACGGGAAGTGCTAGTTCCGACCCCACAAATCGAGTTATCATGAGGAAACCCTCGTCTGTGTCCCAGCAGCAGGACATGAGTCATCGCTACAGCAGCCACAGCAGCCACATACCGGATGTGGCTGCATCAGCCCAGCCAAACACAGATCTGAACATGTCTATACTGTCCAGGATATCGGGGGGAAGTGCCAACATTCCGGAAACCTCTCCACCTCCCAACAACCGGCCAGACCTTAAAACATCTACTCCTAAAGCTAATACTGAACTTTATGGTCCTCGAGCCTATTCATATGAAAGATCAAAATCTTTGGAGAGTACAAAATGGCAAAATATGCAAAACTCTTCACAACGCCTCCCACCTGAAGATGTCCGTTCACCTCCTCACACTTATGCAACTCCTCAGAGATTGGACGATTATAGGGCTCCCCAGGGAGCTGAGACAAGTCTGTTGAACTCGTCCACCATGTCTTACCAGTACGGTCAACCCATACCTCAAATGTCTAGTCCAGAGCCAGTACGTTCTCCTCCTCCACCTCCAGGTGCCAGGCCATCCCAGAGAGAGCTGCCTCCGACTCCAGTAGAAAGAGTCAATCTGGCTCCAGCTGAGCGACTTGACCGTCTAACCATGATGGGCAGTGCCAGCTCATCCACTGATCAAGCCTCTCTACCTGGTCACTATAGCAACAGACAAAGTCTCATGGCTGACGGCCGTGGGTACGATAGAGAGAGCAGCTCCGGACATTTGAGTCGGGAACCCAGACCACAGCCTCAAGGAGGTATTCGAGGTCAATCACCAGCTGCGCCTAGAAATTACAGGTCTCGTTCTCCAGGAGCAAGTAGTAATCACTATGCAACACCAAGCAGACCTTCCTTGCCCAGCACGTCTTCTACAAGCTCCCAGGAGAGAGGGCAGGGAGACAGACCGCCGCCTTATGGAAGGCCAACAGGAGCGGCAGCACAGTTCCAACACAGAACACACAACCATATGGTTCCCAACAATCGTCCTTCAACAAGCCGTCCTGCAAGTGTTATGGGTCATCCAGCATTCCAGATTTCATCTCAGAGTTCCTCCAGGAATGACCCTATATATTCCACAGTAGAAAAAGTCCGATCCAGCCGACCAACAACTCTGGAAGGTGGTTCTGGCACAAAGCCTCATTCAACGGCACCACAGACTAATGGCCCTTACACTCAGAATAGCTACACTTCACGGTCGCAAACAGTAGAGAGACCAAAATCAGTTCCACCACATCTGTTCAATCAGAACCTGAACAATGACTATCAGTCCTCATCTCAGAGACGAGGTAATGTTCCTCCTGTGCCTCCTCCAAGGAGGAGTAGAGAACCAGGGCCTTTAAGCCAGCCAGGAAACACCGTCAGTTTACTTCGTGAACCGGGCAGCCTGGGATCCCGGCCCTCAACTGATGGCTCGAATGTTCCTGGTCCTCAACAACCGTCCAGCAATCAGATGGGGTTGTCAGCCACAGCAAGGCTCCTGCCGAACACTGCCCGGCATCAGACTCCTACTGCCCGTATACAGCCACAGACCAAAACCTCATTCAATAAGGCTGCACAGTCTGTCAGGCCAGTCAAACCCGAAGACCAACCACAACAGAGACCAGACCAGGGTCAGGGTCAAGGTCAAGGACAAGCTCAAGGTCAAGGACAGGGACCGAACAAGAGCTCTGTGTGGTATGAATATGGTTGTGTGTAGCCTTGTGTGTGTCTTTAGGTTTTATCGAATACATTCCAGTTTATATGAAGCAAATGTTTGAACATATGTTTATGTTGATCTTGCAGTAAATTAATAACTTGACTTTCTCAGTTAATGTCTGTAAATAAATCATATGCTATAAGACTGAAACCAGTACTGAAAGAACTATTCTAGTTACCAATGCAATATCAGGGAGTTGTAATAAGAATGCTGTGATATGTTTGGCTCCAGATACCAAATGCTACATGTATATTAATTATTTTAGTACTCGGACATTCCAGCATTTAGTGCTCTGTAGATTTAAGCGTGACCTGACATGTGTACCATGCAAGTATCCAATTTTTTCATGATCGTATTAGATGGAAAAACATTTTACATGAAAAAGATGCATTTTTAACCCTAAAGCATTGATGGATTTTCCCAATTGCTTCTATAATGACCTTGGTTGTCATCTTGCTTGATTCAATCCCACACCTGGCTTTGTTATATGTTAATGCTTTGCATCTACTAAGTTATGTCTCAATGCAATGGAAAGCTATGTAAATCTAATCATGACCATTGTCCAGCTTCGCCTTACAAGAAGCAATGATTTTACAGGATATTCAATAAATTCTCCAAATTACCCCCAATGATGTGTCCAGTCATACCTATAGTCACTTAGCATCTTGCTAGTTTGGCCTCCTTCTATTCTCAGCGTCCATCATTGCTGCTTACTAATGGGTGCTGGTGTTTTTCTCTCTCCAACAGGCATCGCAGATGACTTGATTTACTGACTGCATGCTGGGTCTCTGCCCAGGTGCCTCGTCTGGGTGGTCACCAGTTGTCTCCCTTGGAATGGGTTGTTCAGCATGTTGGAGTATCTGTTCTTGTTTTCCCACAGTCGAAGCTTTGTTTACTTTGGTTGTATTTTTGTTGATTTATTTCCCTGTTACACTGTTGAATTGTTTGTGTTGTGCTCCATAACCCTTCATTGTACGTCGGTGTTGTGACTGGTGGCGACTCACACAACACTCATGTCAATCCTGCACAGCCATCTTGAAGTATGTCTGTGTCGGGTAGGCTGCAGTGGCTTTACAGATAACCTGGGCGAGTGTTGTGGCAGTGAATGGTAGTTGACTCATGCATGCTTTGGTACTGTGTAATCTTGTTTCCTGATAGCTGAATTTTTGTCCTGTTGCCTGGTAACATCCTGGTACTCTTGCTGTGCTGCTCTCCTGTTGCCTAACAGTAACTTTCAGATCCAGAAGAACTGTCAAACATTTAACCTCATATCATAACCAACAACCTAATATTTTAGCCCAAACCTGATTTGAGTGTCTGGTCCAGGCTTGATTATGTACTTATTATATAGCTTGATTATTGCTGTTAGACGACAAACCGAACCTGATTCTGGTTCATCCAAGCCTCTTTTGCCAATAGTAAAGGAGTGGGTAACAAGGATTGACAGCTTTGTTCAGGAACTCTAGGAATTGGTAACTCTAACAAGATACTGACCTCTATTCTCAAGCAGGAGCAGCAGTCTGTCAGACGAGGTTTTAGGCCTCTTGTCATCCACATAACCCAGAAAAGATACAAATATGCAGAAAAATCAAATTTGAGAAAGATTTGTTTTACAGTGCTTCTTCTCATTCTTTATATTTGTGGTTCATCAGCTGCATGTAACGGATCTAAAAACATAGCTACATGTAACGGATCTAAAAACATAGCTGCATGTAACGGATCTAACAACATAGCTGCATGTAACTGTTCGGAAAACATAGCTGCATGTAACAGATCGAAGAGTAATCTGTATTAAACCGATCTACGAAAAAAGCTGCATGTAACGGATATAAGTACATAAACAGATCTAAAAACATAGCTGCATGTACTGGATCTAAGAGTAAATTGTATGTAACGAATCTAAGAACATAGCTGCATGTAATGGATCCATGAAACATAACTAATGGATCTAAGTAATATGCATGTTACAGATCTAAGAACATAGCTGCATGTAATGGATCCATGAAATATAACTAATGGATCTAAGTAATATGCATGTTACGGATCTAAGAACAAAGCTGCATGTAATTGATTTAAGTGTAATCTGTATGTAACAGATCTAAGTACATAAACAGATCTAAGAACACAGCTGCATGTAATAGATCTAAGAAAGAGCTGCATGTAATGGATCTGGAACGTAACTGCATGTAACGGATCTAAGGACATCTGTTGGTGCAATATTTGAGTCAGGTCATCCTCAATGTATTAATAGACTGGCCAGGTTGTGTCCCCGTTCCTCAGTTGCTTTGTGTTGTCAGTCTGGTTTATTTATTGTAGTTCCGTGGTTGTGAAGTGTCTATCTGCATGACTGCATATCCTACCCTGTTTGAAGGAATGAATTGTTAGGTCTCTGTATCCCATTATATCAGTAATGTTTAGATAGATGTGATTGGGGTGTAACGATTCACTAAAGATGTCAAGTTAAGAGATCATGTATTGATACACACATATATTTAGATGACATGTTAACTGGTATGGCAATAAATTTTAAAACCTTTTTCTGTTTTTATATACAAGCATTCACAAGCCACTGCTATTTTTATTGATGTAAATTAAAAAAGGATGTTTTGGTCAGGGCTTTTCATTGTCATTGATGAATATAGTGTCAAGATTCCGTGTGTGGTATTATGTATTGTATCTGACCTCACCAGCAAGATACCAATAGTATCTCAACAAAGTGGATCGTTACAACCCTACTTAGGAATATTATTGAAAGCAATATACATTTTTATTCAAAATATGGCATGAATACTTAAAGTTCTATGTTCAAGCATTTGTGATGGATCGTGTGTATTCCGACTGTAAAATACTTACTCGGCTGTCGGTTCCTCACTGAAGGAAGACATGGTTTTAGCAATTCTGTGTATCCGTCCAAACTTCGTTACCATCATGTATATTCTCCATCATCATCTATTGTTCCATCACCCCTGGCAACCATTCAATTCTCTGTTCACCTTGGGGAGAAGCGGCCATTGTATCAAAACAGTTTACAGAGAACTAACGTGTGTGTAGAAACTGGATGGCTTTCATAAATTAACTGCAAATTCTTCCTTCAGCAATAACCATTGTTCCCTGCAATACACCTCATGTTTTGAAATATGTTTGGACTAGTTCTCTGAAAATGAGGGTTCTACTAATTTGGGAGTTGGGGTAACAGGTTTGTGTGTGCCTTAATAACTGTTGTGAAAATGTGTATGTGTACTGGGGTTTTCGGTTTGTAATCCTGAAGTAACCACATTGGTGAGTACCTGAGGACTGTTCCTATCTGTAGTGTCTGGTCTGTGTCAGGAGTCCGGTACTGGCCCAAACCTACAGCAATATGTTACGTCAGTACTTAGGACAAGGACAGTGATAGGGTACCAACGTAGATCAATATATGTAGATCATCAAACCTAAAGACCATATGGACACACACTCTTAGGATGCCTACAGATCTGGTAGATCTTGTGTGGTGTTGACCTACAGACCTTGTAAACTAACAGACCATGGACACCCACAAGCCTACAGCAATGTAACCTACAAGCATATAGACCTAGTAGGGACTTATAAACATACAGACCATGTAGACTTACATCTTGTAGAATATTAATTCTACTGATCATTTAGGCCTACAGACATGAAAACCAACAAAGCGTATAGACCTAATGGCTTCTAAACATACAGACCATGTCAACTTGTAATGCAAAACTCCAGTACACATAATAAGGGAATCTTGACAAAAACAAACAGGAATTTCATAGAAGAAATGGTTGTCATGGTTACATTGTATTATATCATTCCTTTTAGAGATAAATCACTTTTACCTACCATCCAGGTAGATTTGTCATTATGTAGATAGAGTTGTAGAAATTAAACCATTACGCATTTATTTTGGGATCAAGTGCCTCAAATCTTGTGATATAATTTTTAAACATATCATCGACGAACTCTAAGGTCCCAACATGTAAATATTCTTGTATACTAAAAATATTTTCATGTTCTTTGTAAGATCATATGGAACATGTTCACCCATTTGTGTAGATCTAATGAACTGAAGCAGGTTTGTGTTCCAGCTACTTGTTAATATTTATGACCAGGTTGTGTAAGATTTGTATAATTAAATGAAGTCCACAGAGCTTGATATTTTCTGTTTTTCTTGATGTTCATGCATTATATTTTATCATGTTTTGTTAAAAAGGGATATTTACCAGTATCAATCAGGATAAGTACACCCGTAAAGATCTGGGTAGAGAAGAGGTCTTCAGCAACCCACATTTGCCGGAAAAGGCGACTGTGCTTGTCGTAAGAGGCGACTAACAGGATAGGATGGTCCCGCTCGCTGACTTGGTTGATGCGTGTCATGATATCCCAATTGCATGGATTGATGTTCATGATGTCAATCACTGTATTGTCTGGTCCAGACTCGATTATTTACAGACCACCGTCATATAGCTTGAATATTGCTTAAGGCAGCGTTAAACAACAAACAAACATAATAAGTATTTACGTGCTAAGCACTCAAAAGATAAAGTTCCCCTGTCTCTCATACAGAATGAAAATATATACTACTATAACAAGTGAAGAACCCTAGATTCTTTCATATTACTATAGTTAATCTGCCATGCCATCAGATGTTCTTTAACTCCTTTTGAGTGGTATATATTTTCATTATGTATGAGGGGCAGGGGTGGCCCAGTCATCTAAGGCACAAGATAGATTTGCCAACTTGTTGCCATAACAGAAACCTTTTGTTATGGGTTCGAATCCATGATTCGCCTGATCATGATCCGAGATTTGTCAACCTCATACACATGGTAGTGGGTTTCTGCTGAGCATTGAATCAAACTTTCTCATTCACTATAATGAAATATGAGAAAAGGTACTTCAATGTAATGTATGAACTATGGGTGTCGCAAATCACTGACCACCTTGGGAATTCTGTGCAGAACTCTTCCCATTGTCCTGTTTTCTTTAACATCATTTTCAGTAGTTAAAATATGAGACTGGGGGAAGACAATATAAATCAGAATATGCAATATATATCCAGTGCATAACATTTATATTACTACATTCCAGACTTGACAATTAAATGTATGGCCACCCACAGTTGACTTTACTCTGAACACTACTGGTCTTGCCTCTTACCTGGAAAAAAGTTAAGAATCTTCCCTTCTTTATGTCCCATGTATCTTTTGGAAGCCTCTAAACATGACATTCATCTCATTGTAATGAATTTCTCAGGTATCGCTCAGGGACCGGTCGTTTGTTTGTGTGGGGAGAAGTTTTTGATGCACTAATGTACTGAAAACAATTACCCTCCCCTAATGCTTGTCATATGTTTAGATGACCCTCCTGATGTCCTTGTACATATACCCTCCCTGAAAAGATAAAATGCAAAAGCACTTTAAATGTCCATTTTTTCATCACCTTAACTAAAAATGTGTATTATTTTTTATGATCCTTCCCTAAAGAATCACATTCTTTTGGTGACCCTCCCACCCAACCCTATTATATATGACTGGTCACTAATATCAAAGAATTGAGTGGTCCTTTAATTTTTTTAAAAGTAGTATATGTCATCAAAGTAGGACATAGAGGTATGGGTGACCACTAGACAACACAATCAGATCTTATTTCTGGCTACTGCTGAACAGAGATATGACGACATCCCATAGTGGGTCACGTAAGAACATGAACCCGCACACACATCACGTGTCTAGAACATGAACCATCACACACATCACGTGTATAGAACATGAACCATCACACACATCACGTGTCTAGAACATGAACCATCACACACATCGCGTGTATAGAACATGAACCATCACACACATCATGTGTCTAGAACATGAACCATCACACACATCATGTGTCTAGAACATGAACCATCACACACATCACGTGTATAGAACATGAACCATCACACACATCGCGTGTATAGAACATGAACCATCACACACATCATGTGTCTAGAACATGAACCATCACACACATCATGTGTCTAGAACATGAGCCATCACACACATCACGTGTCTAGAACATGAACCATCAAACACATCACGTGTATAGAACATGAGCCATCACACACATCATGTGATTAGAACATGAACCATCACACACATCACGTGTCTAGAACATGAACCATCACACACATCACGTGTATAGAACATGAGCCATTACACACATCATGTGTCTAGAACATGAACCATCACACACATCATGTGTCTAGAACATGAACCATCACACACATCACGTGTCTAGAACATGAGCCATCACACACATCATGTGTCTAGAACATGAGCCATCACACACATCACGTGTCTAGAACATGAACCATCACACACATCATGTGTCTAGAACATGAGCCATCACACACATCATGTGTCTAGAACATGAGCCATCACACACATCACGTGTCTAGAACATGAACCATCACACACATCATGTGTCTAGAACATGAGCCATTAACTACATCACAGACCATGTCTCTAGAACATTCACTACATCACAGACCACGTCTCTTGAACATTAACTACGTCACAGACCACGTCTCTAGAACATTAACCACTTCAGAGACCACGTCTAGAACATTAACTACAACACAGACCACGTGTCTAGAACATTAACTACAACACAGACCACGTGTCTAGAACATTAACTACATCACAGACCACGTGTCTAGAACATTAACTACGGCACAGACCACGTCTCTAGAACATTCACTACATCACAGACCACGTCTCTAGAACATTAACTACGGCACAGACCACGTCTCTAGAACATTAACTACGGCACAGACCATGTCTCTAGAACATTAACTACGGCACAGACCATGTCTCTAGAACATTAACTACGGCACAGACCATGTCTCTAGAACATTAACTACGGCACAGACCATGTCTCTAGAACATTAACTACGGCACAGACCACGTCTCTAGAACATTAACTACATCACAGACCACGTCTCTAGAACAGTAACTACATCACAGACCATGTCTCTAGAACATTAACTACGGCACAGACCACGTCTCTAGAACATTAACTACATCACAGACCACGTCTCTAGAACATTAACTACGGCACAGACCATGTCTCTAGAACATTAACTACGGCACAGACCACGTCTCTAGAACATTAACTACATCACAGACCACGTCTCTAGAACATTAACTACATCACAGACCACGTGTCTAGAACATTAACTACGGCACAGACCACGTCTCTAGAACATTCACTACATCACAGACCACGTCTCTAGAACATTAACTACGGCACAGACCACGTCTCTAGAACATTAACTACGGCACAGACCATGTCTCTAGAACATTAACTACGGCACAGACCATGTCTCTAGAACATTAACTACGGCACAGACCATGTCTCTAGAACATTAACTACGGCACAGACCATGTCTCTAGAACATTAACTACATCACAGACCACGTCTCTAGAACATTAACTACGGCACAGACCACGTCTCTAGAACATTAACTACATCACAGACCATGTCTCTAGAACATTAACTACGGCACAGACCATGTCTCTAGAACATTAACTACGGCACAGACCATGTCTCTAGAACATTAACTACGGCACAGACCATGTCTCTAGAACATTAACTACGGCACAGACCATGTCTCTAGAACATTAACTACGGCACAGACCACGTCTCTAGAACATTAACTACATCACAGACCACGTCTCTAGAACATTAACTACATCACAGACCACGTCTCTAGAACATTAACTACGGCACAGACCATGTCTCTAGAACATTAACTACGGCACAGACCACGTCTCTAGAACATTAACTACGTCACAGACCACGTCTCTAGAACATTAACCACCAGGGTATTAGTAATTCTAGAAACCTGTCGACAAAATACTCTGTATTATCGGCAATGGTTCAGTAGATATTTCGAGGGAGTCTATATAATACTACATAAAGCTAAAAAGGAATCCATGGTATTTGTTTAGTAAATGGTTATAAGTATACGGTGTGTGGTCCCCATAACTCGTCATCATCTACCGAGAATGCAATGGGTTACTACAAACTGCCAAAGACCATTGCCTACGATTGTCCCGGAATGGCGACTCAGCACCACAGGGGTCACAGCAAACCTGGACGGGTGACCTGTGTCTGACCGGACGCTGGGACGGTTGCCATCTTGAGACCACCTGACAACGGGACACACCACCTGCCGCATGTACGACTTTACAACGGAGGCTGCTACCAACAGCTAAGAAATCTGTAATGTCCAGCTGTGTCCTCTCCTTGCTGTGTATTTCTCTGTCCAGCCCCGGGTTTGATTTATTGTTTGTGACATACCGTGTTAAAACATTAGTAATCCATGTCAACAACATTGCTATTGTCAGCGAAGATTAATTATTGGAGACGAAGACACTACACTGCGTACAGCTTGCAGCAGAGACCATATAATCTATTATATGGTCTCTGCTTGCAGGTGGAAATTGTACACTGGGCCCTGTCAAACGGATCTTATCGCTACGACTGACCTATGTCTATGTTAAGTATGGTAGTTACGATAATCCTAACGCTGAGATCGCTTTGTGGATCGGAACGTATATGTATTGCTTAACTCCGCAAAACAAAGTGCAATAACACCAAAACACATTGACAGCCTAAATTAACACATTACCATGACCCATGACCTATCACAATAAAATTTCCTTTTTCTGCGCAGGACACTAGTGTCGTATCTGTTGTATAAAAGCATCCCGACGCGCTAACAATTGCACAACACAATGTGAGTATTATTACTTTATGCCGCTTTTAGCAATATTCCAGCAATATCTCGGCGGGGAGCACCAGAAATGGGCTTTACACATTGTACTCATGTGGTGAATCGAACCAAGGTCATCGGCGTGACGGGCGAACGCTTTAACCACTAGGCTACCCAACGGCCCCCAATATAATGTACAATGCAATTACCCAACAGCCATGCCAGATTTACTATAGTCTATATACACAATCGGGTGTTCTTTAACTTCTTTTGAGTAATATATTAGTATGTGTGTAAAATGATTGGTGCGACACTTCAAGGGTTTTAATCACCTATTTAAGTCCACTTCCCACACCATAAATCCGGACATATAATTTTAATATGCACAAC